AGGTACCGTCTATTAAGGTTTTAGCTGTAGCAGGGGGGACGGGACTTATTTGACACCCTGTATATGCTGAAATAAACATCAACTATTACTCCTCACAGAAGAGTACCCACTGTATTGTATCTTTGTAGCCATCATATATGCTGAAATAAACATCAACTGTTACTCCTCACAGAAGACTACCCACTGTATTGTATCTTTGTAGCCATCGTATATGCTGAAATAAACATCAACTATTACTCCTCATAGAAGACTACCCACTGTATTGTATCTCTGTAGCCATCATATATGCTGAAATAAACATCAACTATTACTCCTCACAGAAGACTACCCACTGTATTGTATCTCTGTAGCCATTATATATGCTGAAATAAACATCAACTATTACTCCTCACAGAAGACTACCCACTGTATTGTATCTTTGTAGCCATCATATATGCTGAAATAAACATCAACTATTACTCCTCACAGAAGACTACCCACTGTATTTTATCTCTGTAGCCATCATATATGCTGAAATAAACATCAACTATTACTCCTCACAGAAGACTACCCACTGTATTGTATCTCTGTAGCCATTATATATGCTGAAATAAACATCAACTATTACTCCTCACAGAAGACTACCCACTGTATTGTATCTTTGTAGCCATCATATATGCTGAAATAAACATCAACTATTACTCCTCACAGAAGACTACCCACTGTATTGTATCTCTGTAGCCATCATATATGCTGAATTTAAACATCAACTATTACTCCTCACAGAAGACTACCCACTGTATTGTATCTTTGTAGCCATTATATATGCTGAAATAAACATCAACTATTACTCCTCACAGAAGACTACCCACTGTATTGTATCTTTGTAGCCATTATATATGCTGAAATAAACATCAACTATTACTCCTCACAGAAGACTACCCACTGTATTGTATCTTTGTAGCCATTATATATGCTGACATAAACATCAAATATTACTCCTCACAGAAGACTACCCACTGTATTGTATCTTTGTAGCCATCATATATGCTGAATTTAAACATCAACTATTACTCCTCACAGAAGACTACCTACTGTATTGTATCTTTGTAGCCATTATATATGCTGAAATAAACATCAACTATTACTCCTTACAGAGGACTTCCCACTGTATTGTATCTTTGTAGCCATCATATATGCTGAAATAAACATCAACTATTACTCCTCACAGAAGACTACCCACTGTATTGTATCTTTGTAGCCATCATATATGCTGAAATAAACATCAACTATTACTTCTCACAGAAGACTACCCACTGTATTGTATCTTTGTAGCCATCATATATGCTGAAATAAACATCAATATTACTCCTCATAGACAACTACTTACTGTATTGTATCTCTGTAGCCATCATATATGCTGAAATAAACATCAACTATTACTCCTCACAGAAAACTACCCACTGTATTGTGTCTCTGTAGCCATCATATTTACTGAAATAGACAAGTGGGCTGTATTGGAGGCTTGGTCAAGCACTGCAACCCAATTCAGTTACATTTCAGATATCTTAGTTGAACAGCTGGTTTTGGTGACCTCAGATAACACCTCAGTCACATATATGCAGTAGCACTAACTCTGTACTTAGCAGATTTACTTGCTAAAGTGAAATTGCCTTCACCCAAATCAGTGCATGATGTTTCATGTTAAATCTGGCTTTATATAACATGTTGATGTCCAAAAAATATTTGGGTTGAAAATGGCACTGATAAGTAACTGTTAATGTATCAAGTAATGGGTTCCCTGACAGAACACCCAGAACCTAGTGACAAGATTGATAGACTTTCTTCATTTCTGAAAATTTGGGCTTACAAAAGTGTTCAAGTTTGGTACGGTTATAAAGAGACAAGTCTCAGCTTCAATATGATGTCAAAACCTTGGGGGCCATATTTTTATAACTCCAGTTATACAACAACACCCACAAGCCGATTCATTTCAGTCACACATTTTCTAAGAATGAAGGCAATACAAATTGAAAAAAAAATTACACCATTTTTACTTTCATATGTAACTAAGTATTGTTTAACTCAAACAACACACAAAACAACTGAAACAAACACTTCATTTCTCTTTTATCACTCATAACATATACATCAATACATGACAGCATGGATAGAGTTGATGTAAGCTAATATTGCATGAAAACTAAAGATATGGCCCCTGAGATTTTTGTCTTTTCAGATTTGTGCTAATAATAATAGTTTTAAGGTGCCATTTTAAAAAAAAAAGAAATATGTGATCATATTTGGTAATTTTAAGCACCTTTTAACTGGCATAGGTAGAAAGCAACTTACTTTTTCACCCATTGGAATACATGTAAAATTGGCAAAGTTCAAATCATAATTTCTCAAATCCCAGCCCATCGAATCCTCGCATCCATTCAGATCATGTAGTCCTATTCAAAAACTTCCCGTTCGGTTTTATGGTGAAAAAAATATCCCACGAACGAAAAAAGATTTTGCTACATTTATAAGCGAGCATTGATTTCTGGGCCTGTAAAACGCACGTAGGACCTCATTACCCAATTGATTTACTGAGACCGCCAAAAATATAATTCAATTTTTTGGTTCAAAATTATAATCTGTCAGCGGTCATACCATGACCAAAACAAATCCCACGTGGGTTGTATTTACCCTATTAGTGTCATGGTTGACTAAATGTACATTTTGTTCAATATTAATTTTAAAGTTCAGGGTTTTATGAAGTGATATGTACATTTTTGCTCAAATCCCCTCAGCACTTTTGATTTTATAGGGTTCTCTTGACCCCTAGGGTCATTATATTTTGTGACAATTTATTCCAGACTAAATGTAGTTATTTTGTCATTAAAATATCTTATTAGAGAAACGTTCAGGAAAAGTTGCGCTATCCACAAGACTTCTTGTCACTGCACTGATAAATGTAGCAAAAAAGGCAAAATAATTCAGCCTTGAGCATGAAAATTTTTATTTTTTGGACAGCTTTTGGGCTATTTTGGGGGATTTTTGCCCCCAACGATACTAATCTACTTTAAACAGCTGTTTAAAGTTGTGCAAATTGCACAAATGATTTATATTCTCTCATGAGTATGACTATTTGCTACTTTACTAAACTGAACATCATTGATTTTTCGTTTTTCATGAAGTTCCGATGGCTAGTTCAAGTAGCATTGTCTTTTGTGCAGGTTTACTGAATACGTCCCTTTAAAATTGGGTCTTTCGTGGGTTTAAAGGGTCAAAATGTTGGAACTTCGCACACTGTGGAACGTTTGGGGTATGTTTCCTATAATTTGGCAAGAACTGCGTCAAATTACTTGATAAAAGAGCAGAAATGTAGCAATTTAGGCTGAAAAGTACTGTTTTCAATGCAAAAATGAAAATTGCTGACTCAGCAGAATTTAGATCGTCGTCTCCAGAATTTTAGGGATTAATTTGCAAAACTTTAAGTAGTTCCATAGAAAGATATGCCAAATATGGCTAAATTCGACATATTTCTCGAAATTCACTAATAAATGTGGTTGATATTAAGTCAGCTTCTAATCCAGATACACAAGCTGACTTGATGTGAAGTCACTGCTGTAAACTAAGATATCTAGAATTGTAGAAACAAGTTGCAGTGCAAGATCAGGAGCTGGGTATGTTTTATTGCATAGATATGACCATTTGAACGTCTTTTTTACCTAAAGTCCAGGTTGGAGGGAACTTACTATTTTTTTCAAGGCCTGTCTGCGTCGCTAACATGCTAAATATAAGAGTTAGCTGACGTTTGGGAGTCTGACTTACCTTCTAAAGGTTAGAACCCGAATCTTAATGAAACTATATCACCTTTGTTGCGTCGATGATGATGCATAAACATAGCATTTGATAGAAATTAGCGTAAATGCTTTTCCGACTTTTTCATTTTTCATCAATGTTGACTTCCGGGAAGGCGTTGTAGTTATCACGAAATAACGCATTGACCCTTGAACTTTACTTTGTTGACGTGTCAACCAAGCATGTCTGGTGTGAAAATTAAAAGAATATTAAGCAATGTTCTACATCCGCCAAGCTAAGTGAAGTAGTCAATATTAAAAATTACCAATTTCAAGTGAAGTACGCAACGAACGAAACTGCGTGATCTACACTCCCACTATTGGTCTGAATGAAATGCTACGTAGAAATATGAGCCGTCTGCTGTATTAGTCGATTAATAGAGAAAGACCTGTTGGTGATGCTTTATAATTTAGACCAAAACATTGAAGAACAAACGAACCTGTAAATCGTGAAAACAACGAACAAATATTCGGTTTTCACATATGTTCGGTAATTTTTCGTATTGAAACTTCCGGAACTTACAAGGAAATCATTCATTTTCTCGATCCATGATTTACCTCTTGGATGTTGTGGCAAATGCTCCATGGTAGACGGAACAAAGGTGATATGGTTTCATTAAGATTCGGATTCTAACCTTTAGAAGGTAAGTCAGACTCCCAAACGTCAGCTAACTCTTATATTTAGCATGTTAGCGACGCAGACAGGCCTTGAAAAAAATAGTAGTAAACATAATTGTCATGTAAATAGTGTGTTATGATTGGCTGGAATTGGACACACCTTGCCAAGCAGTGTAAATTTATTCTCAGTTCAAGTTCTAAAGTCAAGTAAAACATGACACATTTCTCCAATATTTATTCAAACTATATAAAAGGCGTGGCAAAAATCTTCTCTAAAAGGCCATATTAATTTAACAAAACACACATTAGACTGAATAATCATTCTAGATGAACTTGACATCTGAAAATTAATTATTAACATTGTTTATAAAAAAGACATCTCTCTGAAGGTCAAGTATAAATGACTAACCTTGCAATCGTATTACTTGAGTACTGTAGTGTAAATCTTTAATCATATCATATTTGGCAATATTATTTGCTTGCGATAGTGTTACAGCATAAAAATTAAAACGATCATACACTTTGCATATTATACAGTCTCGTCAAAAAAGAAAAATGACAAAACCAATGAAGTTATGGGATTGTTTCAAAGCTGAATTTAAAGCAGAAGAAAAGTTCAGAATTGTGAATGGCATGAGCTTTAGCCCAGAGGCAACGCACATTGAAGCTGTAAAAAGTATGAACGCATATGACAAGATGCGAGATGATGATGTCATAGTATCATCCTATCCGAGGTCTGGTTAGTAAAATTTAAATAATTTAAATATTGACTCTCAATGATAATATAAACAAATCTACTCACTATAATATGGTAATTATAAAAATTCTTACTGTTAATATCTAATATGATTCCATAATACTACTGTTTTCCCAGGGAAATATGAAAGAATAAAAATTGTATTGAATCATATTACATGAAAAAATCTTATTGTCCCTGGGAAGAAATCGCTCCCTCGGTAAAAATCATATTACCCTTTGGTCAATATCATACTGTCCCTCGGAATAAAACCCATATTCAATCCCTCCCAGTAAATAACCTATATTTATTCCACAATAACATGTTTTCCCCAGGAAATTATTATAGAATAAATAGGTTATTGATGGTCATGATGGAATATGAATTTTTTTATATTGGCCTCTATCAATATGATATTTTCCTTGGCCAATATCATATTTTCCCACGGAATAAAATTCATATTCTACCCCTCCCATTTAATATTCTCTATCTATTCCAGTACAGTCATTTTGATAAGTCATATTGAATTTATTATGAGAAATTACTCATAGTCAAATATTCCCATCGAAAATAATTTGCATTATTATATCACTATCTAGCTAGCGACAGTATGATTGGTCAAAACCGGGTCACATGTTGTGGGATATCTGGCGATATTCAATGGCAATGCTAATCAGATAAGACAACCGTGAGATATCTAGCGATATCCCACGCTCCCGGGAATTTTCAAAGAATTTGTTTTCGTTCAGTGTAAATAATTCAGTTCAGTGTAAGTCAAAATGGCAGACGAACCGAGTAGATTCAATGTATTTCAATGTTAACCTATGACTTAATAATATTAGGGATGTTTAGCTGACAGTGATATAATAAAACAAATATTTCACTCTATTTTCGGTGAATACCTGTAGCACTTTCACAAGGTGATATTCCACTTGCCCTTCAGGCTTCGTGGAATATCACTTGTGAAAGATGTACAGGTATTCACCTCAATAGAGTGAAATATTTGTTCAATATCATACCTGGTACTTTAAATCATTAAATGATAGTGTTTGCTTGAGAATCATATACAACTCCTTGGAACAATATATTATGGGGATATAGAAACACCATTGAAAAATACTGTATGATTTACAGGAACTCATTGGAGCATAGCCTTGGTAGACCTAGTGATGCATGGTGGGGATATAGAAACTGTCAAAGATAGACATATTCATGAGAGAAGCATCTGGATGGATATTCCAATGCCAAGTGAGTATTCTAAGGAACAATATAATAAATCTTTCTTTAATTGTTGGGCCTCACCAAAAAACTGTAAAATTGGCACTAAAATGGAGGCCATTTTGAAACTAGCAGCTCTTTTGAAAATCAATTTGTGAGCAGAACTTGTATTCCCATGAGACATATACTGTACATAAAGTATAAACAATATTTGTCCAACTATATTTGAGTTATTGCCCAGATGGGCGGATGTATAGATGGACAGATCCATTCTCTATATCCCTCTGATGAGATAAAAATATGGAATAATAATTAGTCAAAAGGTATTAATTGTTCCTCCCTAGATATAACAGGAAAGGCCGAGATGAGCATAGACAGTATTAAGAAACAAGAAAACCCCATGGTTGCTGCGGAGAGTACACCATCACCTCGCCTCTTCTCAACCCATCTCACCTATGACTTTATGCCAGAATCGGTAAAACAAGGAAAATGCAAGGTATGCGTGTCAAGGTATGCGTGTCAAGGTATGCGTGTCAAGGTATGCGTGTCAAGGTATGCGTATCAAGGTATGCGTGTCAAGGTATGCGTGTCAAGGTATGCGTGTTAAGGTATGCATGTCAAGGTATGCATGTCAAGGTATGCATATCAAGGTATGCATATCAAGGTATGCACGTCACAGGGCTTTCAATAGCAGGGGGCGAGTGTCTGAAATCGCCGTTTGTTTTCGATAATCCGCCGCTTGTTAGAAGTCAAATATTGTCTAAGTTTTGGGGGAAAATTAAAAGTCGTCTATAGACTATCCTTTATCTTATTCAGCCATCTTGTTTTGCACTTCCTTGTCTATGATTTGTACCTCAGTTTCGAACTGCAAGGGAACTCACTATAAACGTAAAGACCAGCAACATGTATTATTGATACAAATCTGTCCAACCAGTCACCAATGTAACGTTCTATAAAGTCGATTAATGTAGTTATATAAAGCTTTGGGTTTAGTAATATAATATATATTCAATCAAGACAAATATAAGATATACGTATATGATCATTATCTTGATATGTTTACAACTCAAGAGTCTCTATTTAAGGTTTAATATCTTAATTGTACATATTTTACTCTATCAAAATACCAGTGTCATATAAAATACTGAGTGCCACTATAACATCACCACACTATGTTGATGGCATGTTGTCACTGCATGTACTGTGAGAGTCCCACTTCGCTGAATAATACACATTACTGAATAACGACGTTGTCCCACTTTGCTGAATAATACACATTGCTGAATAACGGCATTGTCTCAGATATATGTCCCCTAGGTCACATTAAGAACGCCACTTGATATCAAAAGCATGAACGCCATCTCATTCAGTCTCTGTATAAGCACATAGGCAACTAGGCACTAGCATCTAGTATTCAACACATAAGCACCTCACATGAGTATCAGATTCATTTTCATCTTGAATTTATAATGCTGCTGCTTTTTGTACAATTGGGACCATTTTACTTTTTGAGTAACAATCTCAAACTACTTTGGCTTATATTGTTGTCTTATCCAATGTTATAAAAGTGTGAAATGTGAAACTTTTTATTAATTTCAAAAATGTTTTTGAAGGACTTTTTGTTCAAAATATCGTGAATTTATTTAAAACTAACTTTAAGATGTCACACTTATCCTTTAAAGCGATAATTCACACCGATGCATAGCAATCATCCTCACTTGTTTTTTTGCCGAAAAAATCAAGAAAATTGGTTGATAGATGAGCGAGCAATGAACTCATCCATGCATGAAAGTGGTTCAGGGAAAGATGCATTTCAAAATTTTAATTCTCATTGAAACCAATGGTAAAATAATATTAAAAACATAATACAGGGTGGGCCAAAAAAAACCACCCCCCTAGCCAATATTTCTGATAAATATTCAATTTTTAACATGCACACCAACAATGAATCATTTTAAAGATAATTTAATTTGCAACAAAATGATATATAATAGAACAATTTTCAACAACTCTGGCTCGAGATATAACCATTTATGTGACATGGGGGTCAAAAAACACCTTTTCAATTTCCGCCGATTTTGCCAACAATTGCCTATTTCTACCGAATTTTAGTAAATTACAACATTGTCATGAGTCTTTCATAATTGGATATTATATATTGTTTTCATTAAGTTTTTGAACCTTGCATGCTCAATATACATGTGTATGCTTACAAAACTAATTCATTTCTTCTTCAGTCTGTCCAAATATGGCTCAATAGACTCACCCCCGGACCCAACTTCTGATTTGATTTCTCGCTTAAAACGCGAAAGCCATTGGTATTATTGATGGACCTCTGCAGAAGTACCATCCAACACCTAATTATTCATTCTTTCTGTTTGTCTACACCCCTGATGTTCTAGGGATTTCCATAGGCCAACTGTTCTAAATGCCCCAAGTACTATACATGTAATCAAAAGGCTATACTCTATATCAGTAAGCAAGAATAGTGACATTTGTGATAAAAGGCTACTCAAATTGAGATGACATTTTTCTGAAAGGTAGGTGGTGTCCACTCGGTGTTTCCCAAAAAGGAAAGACCATACAGGCCCTGTTTTTGAACCAGGAGCAAAAATATACTCTGAATGTTAATGACATGAGGTGGTAAAAAAGGACTCCTCAAGAATATAAAAAACATGTGAAAGAAATTTCATTTTCTGATAGAACAGTACTCCATCACACAGGTCCAATGCTGCCCTGGAGTTTTTGGAGATTCGAAATGTCACCATCTCTAGCCCAGAAAAATGGCTTACTGGCAGTCCAGTTGCTAATAATGTTGATTACCATACCTGGGGGCATCTAGAACAGTTGGTATTTAAATATACCCAGCCTATCAGGGATGTAGAGGAACTAAAAGAAAGAATAACTAGTAGTTGAATGGTACTTCCGCATACATTCATCAATTATGCCATCAACCAATGGCTTCCACGTCTTAAGCGAATAATCCAATCAGAGGATGGGTCCAGGGGTGGGTCTATTGAGCTATTTTTGGACAGACTGAAGAAGAAATGAATTAGTTTTATAAGCATACACATGTATATTGAGCATGTGTGGTTCAAAACCTGAATGAAAACAATATATAATATCCAATTATGAAAGACTCATGACAATGTTGTTATTTACTAAAATTTGTTAGAAATGGGCAATTGTTCGCAAAATCAACGAAAATTGAAAAGGTGTTTTTTGACCCCCATGCCACATAACTGGTCATATTTCTATATGGGGTTGTTGAAAATGGTGCTATTATATATCATTTTGTTGCAAATTAAATTATCTTTAATATGATATATCATTTTTGGTGTGATTGTTAAAAAATAAATATTTATAAGGAATATTGGCTAGGGGGGTGGTTTTTTTTGGCCCACCCTGTATATTCATCCTTTTAACCTGGTTAGACAGTCAAAATTGGTTTATTTTTTAAGTTTAGCATATTTAAAAAGATTGGCATTGAAAAATGTTGCCACCTAAGTGATGTCACGATGTGGTCACTTAGGTTGAAAATATTTTCGATATGCTAAATCATTGAATTGGCACATTAGATATAACATTTTATTTTTAACATAGTTTGTCCATTGTTCAATCTTTATATTGGTGTTAAAAAGATATAGAGGTTCTTATATGAGTACCTGTGCAAGATCGTCCATTCTTGATGAGCTTTCATAATTCTTCTTTATCGAGTCGCAGACGAGATAAAGAAACATTATCAAAGCGACTGTCGGATAAATTATGAATGTAGTTTCGCACAGGTGTCAACGGAACCAAACAGTGAACCCCGCTTTCCCGAACCCGAGTTTCCAGGATTTGCCTCGCATGCCTTCGACTCTTTCTCAAGATTTGGGCCCTATATTGTACCCCTACCTTATCATCCTGGTGTCTCGTTTATAACACCCTTGTAATTACAATGCGAAGTTACTTAAGCATGATAAAACGTGGATGGGGGGAGGTTTGAACCCCCACTTGTATACATGTATACTTTTATATACTCAACCGGCCAAGTATTAACAGTACAAAAGGGAGAAAAAATCCATCAGCTCCATAATTCTACACGTTCACATACTGAAGATTAAAAATCTTAAATGTATTTAGAACTACGCCTTTGTACCAGCGACACACTTTCACAGGTGCGTCTTTACAATGAAACACAATAACGAAAATTGCAACTTTAGGATCTTGAAAAAAGTTGCAATACCTTCCTGGTTAGAATAGGTTTCCACGTACAAGTAAAAACACTATATAAATTAACTATCTATACACCATCAATGCAAATATATGCTTTCTTCCATTCTGATACTCATAGCATCTTTCTGTTTCACCTGAATCATCTCAGGGCTGAGAAGAAATGAGATGTCATGGTTACATAAGAGGAGAATACATAATGCGGGTCTGAGAATGTGGGATGTCACATTCATTGCAACACACCTTGCAACAATGTCTTATGAGGGTAATTTCTTATATTGAGAAGTTTATCATCTATTGAAATTAAATACTTGTAGATATGCAAGTAGCATACAAGTCTTCCATGCAAATGGAGGTGCGAATTCACATTAACAAATTAAGATAAGATCCACAATATGTTATCAAATGGTTAAATGCGCAAAATGTGTAGATATGTTTTCCTTAATAATGCTCTCTCTAATGCCTAGGCCACATATGCGCCAGGCGCCGCTACTCATCGGCCGATTTCTAAATCATGCAATTTCGACAAAAAGTATGTAATTCTGCAATTTTAGTTACAAAACATGAAGGTACATTATGTAAAATTTTGAAGACAATTGGTGTATATTTAACAAAATACCAGCACCAGTCCTGTTACTTTTGGAACACCCTGTACCCTCTGGAGGTGGTAAAAAAACTAAAATGAATCTGATATACACATAATCACAAGTGAATCATCTATTAATACATCACTCTCATTTTAATAATGACAATTCTAGATTTTGATTTATATCAAAAGTGCTCAATTCAACAAGTGCATTTGGATTTGTGAAATCTTAAAAAAGGTAACTGACATTCTATATAAGTTGCCCTAGTCATTCCACAGTTAACGTTCCAGGTGTTATTTTGTGGAGCCCATGTCTTGCCACATCACACGTGGAAATGACTTTGACAAACCTTGGACATCTTTCTTTCAGTCCATGGACTCTAAAATAACAAGAATTTGCATTGTCGGGAGCGTAAAATTGGTTATTTTGAATGTCGCCTCTTGTATTTTCCATCTGCCTCTTGTACACAAAGTCACTGAAACCACTGCGTCAAGGTATGCATGTCAAGGTATACATGTCAAGGTATGCATGTCAAGGTATGCATGTCAAGGTATGCATGTTAAGGTATGCATGTCAAGGTATGCATGTCAAGGTATGCATGTCAAGGTATGCATGTCAAGGTATGCATGTCAAGGTATGCATGTTAAGGTATGCATGTCAAGGTATGCATGTCAAGGTATGCATGTCAAGGTATGCATGTCAAGGTATGCATATCAAGGTATGCATGTCAAGGTATGCATGTCAAGGTATGCATGTCAAGGTATGCATGTCAAGGTATGCATGTTAAGGTTGCATGTTAAGGTATGCATGTTAAGGTATGCATGTCAAGATATGCATGTCAAGGTATACATGTCAAGATATGCATGTCAAGATATGTATGCCAAGGTACGCATGTCAAGGTACGCATGTCAAGGCACGCATGTCAAGGTACGCATGTCAAGGTACGCATGTCAAGGTACGCATGTCAAGGTACGCATATAAAGGTATGCATGTCAAGGTACGCATGTCAAGGTACGCATGTCAAGGTATGTATGTCAAGGTATGCATATAAAGGTATGCATATAAAGGTATGCATGTCAAGGTATGCATGTCAAGGTATGCATGTCAAGGTATGCATGTCAAGGTATGAATATAAAGGTATGCATGTCAAGGTATGCATGACGGGACTCTGAAGGCATATGATCTTATGAGGTTTGAGAGGGGTCAAACTAAAATGACTGGCATGAATTTTCATGTTCATAACTCTTTTAAATACTAGTTTCAAGAGGACTTCAAATGACCAAATAGGAGTCTCAAGGACTCCAGGCAAGTAGCCAGAGGGGGAGTTTGGGAACCCCGGGCCACAGGCCAAAAGTTCTTTCAAAATCATGCAGTGATTTTGGCCTTTTTTGGATCAAAGTTGTCACAAGTGAACCAACCCCCAGAATATTTTGAATTTTTCGATTCTCTTTGGGACACAAGATTTCTTAAAAGTCAGTAACTATATACCAGACTTATAAATGTTCCTTTCTCTCCCACTAGGTTGTGATTATCCTCAGAAACCCCAAGTCAGTTGTAGTGAGTCATCATTTTTTGAATGATATACCAGAGTATTATGACGTGGCACCAACTATTGACCAAACCATTGATGCAATGTTAACAGATGCTCAAGATCAGAGTAAATAGCTTATAATAGATCTACTACTACATAATAGCCAAAATAATATTGATGTCTTAAAGGCCCGATTTTTCTAAAAAATAATGCTTTATGATACACTGTAGCTGTATAACAAAAATATTTAGGATATAATACAGTAAGCTTACAGTGTAAAGTCATCCATTTAACAAATATATATTATCATTTCACATAACATTTGTAAATAAAAAAAACTGCTGAATAAGGAATATCTCTTTTCCATATTCCTTGCTGATTCCATTGTTTTAAACAAGGCTTTTAGACCATTGTGATTTTAAGTGTGATTGAATGTTTCCAGTGATATATGGGAGTTGGTTCAATCATGTTAGTAGATGGTGGCTGAACAAAGACAAACTGAAGGGAAATATTCACTTTGTCTTCTATGAGGATATGAAAAAGGTAATTACAATAAAAACTGTCAAAGTGGAACACCTTTAGTACCTCTAAATGTGTTCCACCTGGGAGGTGTTTCACTTCAAAAGGTGTTGCACATAACAGGTTTTAATGTACTGTATTTGATCAGTTATCTGTTTGTTAGTTTCACTTGGTTTAGAAGGCAATTCCAACTGATACTATCTGTAGAAACAGTTACAGTTACTGTTGAAAATTCATGCTTTGAGGTGCATATTATCATGCTACATGACAGACTGTCACATGTATTCAACAAATGCATTTTCAGAACATGGGAGAAGTTATCAAAGGCCTTGCAAAATTCTTGAACAAAAGCATACCGGATGAAAACATTGAGAAAATGGCAGAACATCTTCAATTTGATCAAATGTTAAAAAATCCAAAAACTGGCAAAGCATTCGAGAACATTAAAATAGATGCTGAATCCTTGGACTTGATGGAAACAGATGCATTCAAAGATCTACATATGAGGAAAGGTTAGTAATACCACGGCAACAAAAGACTCAATCATGATATTTGTCATAGCAACAAAGAGTGTATTGTAAACTTGAAAAACAACAACTCCACAGAGTAGCACTACCAAGGAGGATTGGCTCCCAGATTCGAAACTCGATATTAAGTTCCAACAATGAAAATATCGAAATGTCGCTATTTTCTAAAATTATAACTGACTATAAATTCAAAATAAATATGATTCATGATTCAAATGTTGAAGTGAATAAAATTGCGGCTGTTTGAATTAGAATTTTGTATCACGACATGCCCATATATGGGACAGAATATCGATGTTGCACTCTGGGAGCCAATCTTCCATGAAATCCCACCAAACAAAACATGTTTTCATAAATAGCGGCCATCTTGAAAATTTCTCCATGAACAAAGCTCTGTTTCAAGGTGTGAAATTCAACTGCCATTTTCAGCATATGAATTTTGAACCAGATCAGTCCACTGTTTTGTGAGTTATAAAAGATTTTGAAATTCAGTCGCCATCTTGAGAATTTCTTCTTGAGCAGAGCTCCTTTGTCACTAGACACAAGCATATAAAATTTGAACCAAATTCATCAACTGGTATTTGGGTATCAAAGATTACATTTTTCAACAAATAGTCGCCATTTTTGATAAAAAGTGGCCATCTTGGAATTTTCCTCTGGAGCAGAGTTCTTTTATCTCTCAGCATTAGTATATAAACATTTCAAAATATATAGGTTGGCAAAAAGTTTAATACATGTTGCGTTGCTGTATAATTTCACTACTATTTTCACAATTTTATAAATATAATATTAGGTGTCAACGTCACACATATGGATTTATTTGGAGACCCAAAACAGCCTAGTTTAAAAAATATCTCAAATTAAAATTAAATAAAATTAGTACCGTGGGTACTGGGCTCACATGGTGACAGAAAAAAACGGATATAATTTTTTGCTGATTTTTTGTAACAAAATTATTTCAAGCCACTTGCCACTATTTTGGACTGACGGAGAGACAGATGGACAAATCGATGTTAAGTAAAATTGCTGAAAAAAAAACGGATATAATTTTTTTTCAATTATTTGGAACAAAATTATTTCATACAACTACTCTTTACAATGACATGGCTTTTTGCATTGCAAGACACCTGAAATTATTTGTAAAGCTAGGAAACGGGCCAAAATTGAATTTCGCGAGACAAAAATGATGACCATTTTGAAATCAGGCAAGCTTTTGAAGCAGGAGTCAAAGGGGAGTTTTTTTGTATTGATGTTGAACAAAAATAACGTGAAACTGGAATCCTATCGACAGAGGTTTTAAGTAAATGGTCCAAAAGAGGATTTCGCGAGACAGATGAACAAATCAATGTTAGCTAAAATGGCTGAAAATAAAAAAAACAGATATAATATTTTGCCGATTTTTTGTAACAAAATTATTTCATACAACTACTCTTTACAGTGACATGGCTTTTTACAATGCAGGACAGCTGAAATTATTTGTAAAGCTAGGAAATGGGCAAAAAGTGAATTTCGCGAAACAAGAATGGCGACCATTTTGAAAATAGGCGAGCTTTTGAACCAAGAGTCATAGATGGCTCAAAATAAAAAAATGGATATAATTTTTCGCTGATTTCTCGTAACAAAATTATTTCATACATCTTCTCTTTACATTGACATGGATTTTTACAATGTAGGACACTTGAAATTATTTGTAAAGCTAGGAAATGGGTCAAAAGTGAATTTCGCAAGACAAAAATGGCGGCCATTTTGAAAATAGGCGAGCTTTTGAACCAGGAGTCATAGGGGAGTTTTCTGTATTGATGTTGAACAGAAATAACTTAAAACAGGAATCATATCGACAGAGGTTTTAAAACGTGCCACTGTTATTGACGAAAAGTGGATTTCGCGAGTAAGATAGACAAATCAATGTTAACTAAAATGGCTGAAAATAAAAAAAAACAGATATAATATTTTGCCGATTTTTTGTAACAAAATTATTTCATACAACTACTCTTTACAGTGACATGGCTTTTTACAATGCAGGACAGCTGAAATTATTTGTAAAGCTAGGAAATGGGCAAAAAGTGAATTTCGCGAAACAAGAATGGCGACCATTTTGAAAATAGGCGAGCTTTTGAACCAAGAGTCATACGAGAGTTTTTTGCATTGATGTTGAACAAAATTAACTTAAAACGAGAATCCTATCGACAGAGGGTTTAAGGTAAATGGTCCAAAAGTGGATTTTGCGAGACAGATGGACAAATCAATGTTAACTAAAATGGCTGAAAATAAAAAATGGATATAATTTTTCGCTGATTTCTCGTAGCAAAATTATTTCATACATCTTCTCTTTACATTGACATGGATTTTTACAATGTAGGACACTTGAAATTATTTGTAAAGCTAGGAAATGGGTCAAAAGTGAATTTCGCGAGACAAAAATGGCGGCCATTTTGAAAATAGGCCAGCTTTTGAACCAGGAGTCATAGGGGAGTTTTCTGTATTGATGTTGAACAGAAATAACTTAAAACAGGAATCCTATCGACAGAGGTTTTAAAACGTGCCACTGTTATTGTCGAAAAGTGGATTTAGCGAGTAAGATAGACAAATCAATGTTAACTAAAATGGCTGAAAATAAAAAAATGCATATAATTTTTCGCTGATTTTTTGTAACAATATTATAACATATATCTACCCTTTACATTGACATGGATTTTTACAGTGTAGGACACCTGAAATTATTTGTGAAGCTAGGAAATGGGTCAAAAGTGAATTTCGCGAGACAAAAGTGACGGCCATTTTGAAAATAGGCGAGCTTTTGAACCAGGAGTCATAGGGGAGTTTTCTGTATTGATCTTGAACAGAAATAACTTAAAACAGGAATCCTATCGACAGAGGTTTTAAAACGTGCCACTATTGTTGACGGACGGACGGACGGACAGACAGACAGACAGACGGACAGACAGACGGACGGACGGACAGACAGACGGACAAGTGAGTGATTGCAAAAGCTCACCATGTGAGCTAAAAATATCCATTAATTCCTAACCAAACATTCATTTACTGCCGCCCCAAATATTTCCTAAAGGCTCCGTCTGCATAGGGTGATAATTTGGACACATAATATAGGATACAGCAGTTAGAAAAGAATTGTACATTTGCAGGTGTCATAGATGACTGGAAAACCAAGCTGACAATGGCACAAAGTGAAAGAATTGATGCATTCCTTGGATCAAGGTTGGACAAAATTGGGCTGAAATTCCAGTATGAGTGAAGAACTTGTGAATCGTGTCAGGAATGGATAATATGTCATTATTTCAAAGACCAAATCTGAGATTTTAGACACTGCCACATATCCTTTGGAAATCAATGTTTGAAATCACAAGGTTTTCAATTAAGAACTATTCCAAAAACAGTTTGTCAGAGTAAAAAGAGGATTTAAAAATAAATCCAGCTTTTTTCAATCATATCCAATTTGTATAATGTTAAATCGTGATTTGAAATGTCTTTGTGAAAATGTTTTAAATCTTTCTACTGTAAGTACCATATTGCAAGTAAATATCAAACAATATTACAAGTACAATCATATTACAAGTACAATCACAATATGAGTACAATTTCATTACAATCATTATTACAAACACAATCATTTTAGGAGTACAATCATATTGCAAGTACAACTGTTGTGCTTTGTAAAATATAAATGTTACCTTGGCAACAGGGGAAGAATGGTCCATCCTCCAGTTACATGAGACCAATCTTTGTGTAGGAATAACACCTCAGCCTGAAGAAAAGTTGTAATTTTAGTAATATTGTAGCAGTTATGTTCAAATAAAGTGATACAAAACTCAAACTGCAAAACATGTGATTAAATTAGTGAACATCATAAATTTGTGAATATTCGGAGTGTAAAATTACAAATCTGGAATGGTGTTCATTTAAAATTGAATACCTGACACAATTTGAGGTACTTGCGAATTCAGGAAATCATAAATTCGCGAAAGAAACAAATAATTTATGGCTTTAACACTATTGTTCAGTTTTGTGATTTATCTCTCTCATACTAAATACTAAATTTTACACATAGAAATTACTGCAATAACTTGTATCAACAGTGAAACCTGTAAAGTGAAACACCTCTAGAGTCTAGAAGCGGAACCCCCACTTTTCAGAGTCCCAAGCGAACTGACCTATAATGTTAAATGAACCTCTTTAAGTGGAACACCTCCCAAGTGGAGCAAATTTTAGAAGTACCAAAGGTGTTCCACTTAGAGAGGTTTTATTGGACTATCCTATTGAGCCAGTTATGTGTCAAGTTCATGAAGTTCAATTTAACATTATTGTTTTTTTATGAATTTGACTACCTGCAAAGCAAAATCTACCAGCTGTTTTTTATGTATATTTTCACACTAAATAGTGCCTATTATTGAGATTTTCACAACCTTTGTACAATTATAGTGAAAGGCAAAGATATATATATTTTTTAAAAAGGTGTGGCTGATTCTTATTTGTGATTTTTTAGGTGCAAAATTTTTACTTCCACAATAATCAAGACAAAATTTGGTCAAAATATGCCATTTTTTCATGATTTTTCTCATTTTCATTTAGTGGAGGGAAATGGTTTCTCAGGTTGGTTCAAGCCCATTGTTAAAATATATTTTAGGGAGATCACTGTTCCATGTACTTACATCAGGGTGTTGCTCCTTTAAGTGCTCCTTGAAGATTTGGGACCTCTGTTCATGGTAGGATGACTCTTGACTGAGCACAACAAAAACTGTATTGATGAGCAATTTAGAACTGGCAGCATCTAAAATAGATTGAGCAAATTTTATTTATGTATATTGAATATCAACATTTTTGAAAAATCCCATAATTTAAAACTGCTACTTATTTTTAGATAACATATTTGTAGATAACTTTTCTGCAATGTGGTTGGGATACTTTCAATCCCATTGCCAAGGGACTTTTTGGTAATTTAGTCAAGTAAAAATGAACTTAATAACTTATTTAGCAGTAAAACTTCAGGGATATTACCCTCATTGAAACTATAAATGTAAAACATGAAAGAGGTTGTGCATTGAAATGACCCTAAGAAATGAATATCTTTTGTTGACTTAAACTTCACAAAAAGCTGGATAGTTAATTAAAAAACATATGCTTTTCAAAAATGTAGTTTCCATGTCATGCATATTATTTATGCCATAACAATCTGCTTCATGAATAATTCAATCAATTGTTATTAACAGAAACCTGTCATTTCATATTATAGCGAATTACTGAAATTTACTGAAGTTACTGAAATTGTCATACAATACACATACAACGTGTACTGCATTTTCCCCATTTACTGGTGTGATTTATGTCTAATATTAAATTATTTTTTATTTTTTTAATGCAGTTGATCCGTTTTGATATCTGTATCATTGTTTGATGTACATGATGAATTGATTTAAAGAAATACCAATCTGTAAAGTTCAAAGTGTATGCTCACCAGAAATTCCCTATATTGTTAATTAAATCCAATACACAGGGTGAGACAAAAAATCTCCCCAATATTTTATTTATGAACAAGTTGCTATTATATTATATTGGGAATGCTAGACATGTCCCTTATAAAATTTTGGAAGAATTAATCTTATCTCCAATCTTTTATCATATCTTCAAAACTTTAAATGACACTGTTTAAGACTGCCATTTGTGGAAAATTTGTTACTATATACTACTATTGGTGAATATGAACAAATTCCTACTTTATCCTGATGTATTTTGAGCTCAAAAACAGTATAATATAAAAGTTTACAAAAAATTATGTAACTCTGGTAAAGAAAATTTCCATGAATAAATAAACCATTATTAAAATATTAAATAATTTGTGTTGAACAGTTTTTGGTCCACTCTGTATTTAATTACACTTCAATAAATGTACTATTCAAAATGTCTTCAATTAATACAGCAATACATGCTTACAATAAATCCATAAACAAACAGTAAAGTACAGAATAGTTTAAATAAAATGCAAACAACAAACATTCACTATTCCAAATGATCCCTCTGTGTGCAAATGGATCTTATTACATTGATTGATATGTCTAATTTGCACGCAGCAGTATAAATATTTCATCTCTTTCACATTGCAATTTTACTGAGATTGATTAATTACAGAGCCAGAGTATCTATGATAAGGCCCCAGCTGCATGGTTTTAAAATTAAGAAAGTATTGTAAATCTAGCTTTAGTATTTTGTATTAAGAAAGGATATTGACTTGCATATTCTTACATAAATAAGTGTAAAATTTTTGCCAAGAATGATTTAAAAATAAACTGTCTGTAAAAAAGATAATGAATACAATATATGTCAGCTTATTTCCCACAAATACCATGTTAATAAGACCAGTTATCTAGATTTTAACCTCTTGAATCCCAGGCCCTAAAATTGGTTGAAACCAGAGAAATTTTCACTTTTGCCAGCTTTTCACATTTTACTACATACATATAGATGATTTAGTAAAATTAGATGACAGAGATCATTTTTACACATCTTAAAACTTTTTTGTGTAAATTGGGTAAAAAAAAATTTTGAAATAAGAGCTATTTTAGTGAAAAATTTTGTGACCTATTTTCTCGTTACTCTGGGTTCAAGGTCATATCTGAGGTGACCATATCTCGTTACTCCAGGTCATCAAATGGTTAAAACAGATACACAACAGATTCAAGCTGAAGGCACCTAAAAGGGAGACTGAGATAAGTTAAAAGATGTTTCAGAAAAATTGTCACATTATAATATATCTTTCTCTCGTCATTCCTTGTCAGACTTCATTTCAGGAGAAACTGAACTTTAAGCTTGAATTTAGTAATCAACGTAATCTGTAATCTTTAGTAACTTGAATGTTAGGCCAACAATATAGCCCCACACTATATGGTGGGGACATAAAAATGAGTTGGAAGAGGGAGAAAGGAGAACTGTTAAACACCTGAATAGAAAAAATGATCAACTTACAGAGAGGGTTCTAAGAATGGGGGTATGAGAACTCCTGAAAGCCCTGTATGTGATTGCATTGAACGCAGTTCCAAAAACATCACTCAGACGGTAAAGCCATACCAAAAGATGGCTTAAAGGTTGCTAGGAAGCTTTCTCATTAATGATTTCAACCTCTATACTCACAAAATGCAGCTTAACAAGAAGCCAAAAGAATGTTATTTGTTTAAACAAATGATGTGTAACCCTTTGGTTGACACAAAAACCTTACATTTTCTTTTTTGTTGAAAGCGGGTGCATTTTTAAATAACAAGAAAAATATTGAATCTTTATAGATTGTAGTTTCTGTTCATGAAAATGAAGCTGCAGATTACATATGTATTAAATAAGAAATTATTTTATTTTTGAAGGTTTCTGTTTTTTTTTTGGTGTCGCCCTGTATGCAAATAATAGGGATTGATTAAGCATCAAATTGCACAATACAGCATTGTTCATTAATTAATGTTGATTTGAATTTCAAATGATTACCAGACATGCTCTATGAATTATTTATTTGGCTTGATCCAAGGAGGATTGGTGCCCAGAATGCAATCTCAATATTTTCCAATTATGAAAATGTCAGAGTGTCGTTTGACATCAAACTGGTTATAAATTCATAACTAGAAAAACAGCAACTCCACAGAGTAGCAACTTCCATCGAACAAAACATTTTTATAATTAGTGGCCATCTTGAAAGTTTCTTCTTGAACAAAGCATATCAACATACAAAATTTGAACAAAATCTGTCAACTTGTATTTCAGTTATCAAAGATAACATTTTTAACGACAAATGGCCACCATTTCTTGAACAGACCTCCTTCATCTTTAAATATCAGCATATAAAGTTTGGACCAAATCAATCCGACAGTATATTAAACTGATTTATCAAAGATAACATATGTTCACTGATATTTGAATCATCAAAGATTACTTTTTTTAAGAAAAATGGTGGCCAAATCTGCCCACTGGTATTTGAGTTATCGAAGTTTACATTTTTTTACAAAAAATGGCTGGCATTATGAAATTCAGCTGCGGTCTTGAAAATTCTTTCCCAAACAGAGCAACTGTGTCCCAAGGCACCAGCATATACAATTTGGAACAAATCCATCAACTACTATTTGAGTTATCAAAGATAACATTTTTTACAAAAAATGATGGCCATTTTGAATTGTGGCCATATTGAAAATTCCTTTTTGAGCAGAAAATTTCTCGCTAAAATATCAACTCACACCTCGGAGCGACAATAGATGCACCGAACGACGCGCCGACTGGTGCAACGATCGATGCAACATCGGCGCGCCGAAGTGCATCTCGACACATTCCTCGATGCATCGTCCAATGTGCATCGGTTGATCCAGGAATGCATCGATTGATGCAAAATTAAGACACGGCAACTGTGAGTCTAATTCAACCGGCAATTCTTCAATGTATTTTATATTTAAATCATATTCTTGAAACAAAATTCATGAATTAATAAAAGCCGCCTTTAGTATTAGTATCAGTTTCAGCCTTCACGTTTATATTGAATGCCAATGGCAAACTTCAGGGCCTACCATGGGCATTCAACTCTAGTTGAATGTCCATGGGCCTACTGAGCACGAGCCTTCGGGAGAGGTAAACCAGGATTCAACCAATAATGCAGAATGTTTGGAAAGAGGGTGGAGGTGTACAATAAAACTTTTGTGTGCTGTACTGTTCACCCGTTCCGCATTTGTGTATATGAATTTAAAACTTACCCCATTCAATTTTGGTTTTCGTTTCAGCATTTCCGGACCGGATTTCAAGAAATACTGCACCTAAAAGTGGAATAACTTCATACACTACGGTTCAAAACTTTTAAAAGTGCATTAGATATGATATTGAATATATAAACTATGTTGTGTATAGCTAACAATACCCTTACCATCGTAAAACTTACCTAAAACTGCCAAAATTACGGCAATCTTATACGTGTTGCATTTTACTCCGACCGCCATTGCAAGATTTGTAACAAGGCTTTTGATTGGTTGATGGCTCATAGTGATGAAAAATGTTTAGACATGGCGGTGTACGGAAGTTGTCCTTCTTGGCTGCTGAATTCCAAGTCTCTCGTCACGAATTCAAAGGTATTTGTAAGATAGATGTATAAAGTAATTCTTCTTCAGTTTATTGCACTTAACAAGGCTACATCAGTACAGTCGATTATGAGCAAATAGTAGGTCAACAATAATTTTTCTTTGCCATTTCTGTTCCTGGACAGTTCAATGAGTCTCAGTTGTCTTGCCCTGTAAGTACAATCAATGTATTTCTAATCTGCTTAATAATGATCTGTTTTGTTTCAGGAGTGGAATGAGTATGTAGGGGAACTCCATGATGTCATACAACAGCAGCTTACTGAGAGCCATGTACAGCATTTCACTGACCTCTCGCAGCCAGAGAAAATGCTATTCATGGACAGGGCTTCACAAGCTTTGCACACAGGTACTTGCTCACTTCTTTAACATACTGAACATTATATGTGCAGTTAGTACAACTGCAAGTTATTTTTGTTATGTCATTTTCACAAGTGGTGACAGCGTTTTATTTAGTGTTACCAAAAAGTGGGTCCAATGGACCCCACGGTAAAAAAAAATGGAGTCCAAACCAAAAAAAGTGGGTCCGAAAAATTAAAGGCCTGAAACTAATTAAAAATGAAAAAATTGGATAAAGCAAATTCAAGTACTCGTTTTTTTCTAAAGTAGCACAAATGTAAGGCATTTTTGTCTTTTTTACCATGTAGTCTTATGGAGTGATTTTATATTTACTAAACTTACAACTACATAAACATATTTATTGTAACATTTCAAAATGTTCATTATCATCATTGTCAATACATGAAGGATGTAATGATAATTCAATTTTTCCTCTTTTTATCTAAATCTGTTCAAATAATACACATACATGTACTGTAGGTACATACTAGCTCAGACAATTTTGTAATTTAGACCCTCTCTGGTGCATTCTGGCATATCTCGGCAAAAAATTTCCAATAATAATATTTATAATATTTATAATACATAATTGATTGTAATTAATTATTTCTTAATTACTTTGTTTTTCAATGTTGCCCCTTGTTCCTCCTCACTCTGATGTAAATTAATAAACTCAATATTCCTTTCTGACACATTATCAATCTCAATGAAATATAAAGATCAACATTCAATAGTTTGATATGTATTTTTGACTTGTAATATTTTATTTGTTTTCAAATGTTGCCCTTTGTGCTTTCTCACTATGATGTAAGATAATGCCAAAAAGATCAATTGTATTAATTAATAAACAGTTTGTTGTCAAGTTTATGTGTAGGCTAATTGTTAATAATAGTATCCATTGAAAGATGGCAGGACAGTGATAAAGGTTTTTTGCTACTGACCCATTAATCTCAAAGCAATGATGTTTTGGTTTTAGAGGTCAATCAAAATGTTATTTTCTGGTACAGAATTAAGTATGAAGTCATGTGTGTATTTCCTTGCTTTTTTCAGGAAAGTATCATTACACTGTTTACTTTTATAATATCTGGAAACAGGTCAATGGTAGCTCCTGTGTTGTCTGGAAATTTTGAAAGAAAATTTGGAAAAATAGAAAGTGTGAAATATCAGAATTTCCTGGAGTTTCCATTGAACCCCTACCAGATATTCTAAAAGAAGACAATGTAATGATACTTTCCTGAAAAAAGCAAGGAAATTGACACATGCCTTCATACTTTATTTTGTACCAGAAAATAACATGTGCAGGTATAGCAATTTTTTACCAAAATGTTACTTTCCAGCTGTACCTTAAAGTCAACTTTTTTGTGATGGTGGTTGGTGTCCAGTGTCTAAGATACCCCCATAACTGTGGGGTTATTTTCAGTTTTTTTGATACTTAGGACATTTGTTTCTCAAAATAATAAATATCAAAAATCCTCAAAATAACCCCACATTTATGGGGGTAAGTGTCTATAACAAATCTCAGATGGTGATATTTTGCATGTAATGCCTTGTTATGTCACCACGAGAAGTGGTTACTTGTTATGGTTGTCAACTTTTTTGTGGCAGCGATTTGTGTTCAGCATTCAGCATCTGGGCCAAATGGCAGGTGGTGACATTTTGCTTGGTAATGCATTGTTTAATCATATAATCATCTTGTTTGATGATATGAGGTCACATATGACAAATTACAATTACACAATTACAAATAATATGAGGGGGTTATATTGTCAAGCATGCATGCCTGAAAGAGTGCTGAAACCAAGCTTACACGTTAGGGACTCCTCATGGGGTATGTGATAAGGCGACCTGACCCCTAAAGATGTGACTAAATGTGACTTTGGGGTATTTAAAAACGTGTGTTTTGAGAGTAACAAAAATTTGTTCTGAATGTAAATACATGTATATGCAAGTTAGTAAATGTGACTTATTTTAACCAGTAATCAAACAATGGAACATAACAAGCCATTTGTTGCATTATATTCGTTGACTGACTAAAAAGGAATGAAACTGACAAAATATGAGAAGTAAATTTGAAATATGACAAATGACAATTTTGAAAATTTAAAAGTGACTGAAGCGACCTCACTGCCCCCTCTTGGGGAGCCCTATAATGTATATTGCAGCTCTAGAACAAGTTTGGAAAATGCCAACAATGTTTCTGGCTTTTACCCAGAATTATACAATACACATGTAAATATTTATATTGTTTATAGGGAATGCAGCAAGACAACTGGCAGTTAAACTGAACAATACCATGGAAACAGAGGTCAACAAGGAGGTCAACCAGAAGCTATTGGATGATTCATCTGCCGTCACAAAGACTGATGTACTACTCGAACACTCCCAAGAGGGCGCTGTGAGCCTCTTGAAGAAATGGCCAGATTTGAAAATGAAGCTTCATGTTTGCCTTAACAGGCTTTTGCCAATGCCACTGAGGCAGATAACATGGAGACTGTTTTTGAATAATACAAAGGGTAAATACGCATTTGAGCCTGGCCATGGGAAAACCGGTCTTATCATAAAAATTAAAATTGTGCTACAGAGCCAAAAATGTGCTCAAGATTAAGAGAAAAATGTGCTAAATTCAAATCTGTCTTTTGGTCTATATCTGCATGAAAAAATTGTTAAGCCATAAGCCATGGCTCATTTGAAAGGTCTCTTTGTGCTTTTTAAGATAAACAAAAAATCAAAATATTGAAAAATATGTGATAAGACCCCTTTTCCTGTGGCCTGGCTCATTTAATGGGATTGTTCATAATATCATGGGCTTTCAACTAGAATGGAAGCCCATGTTAATACAGTATGTACCATACAGTCAGTTAAACTGCTTCAAAGGCAAGCAGTTGAACCTGAAAGATATGAAATCTAAAGACTATTGTGCCATAATATATAGAAAAATATATTCATATTGCACATGAATGACATTGAGAAAATGAGAATTTTGCACCCTCCTGAGAAAAAATCCTGGGAGATCACTGAATAGTATTCTAGCAACTGTTAGGAATCATACTGTAAGATTATCAAGGATTTTCTTTATATTTCTAGCCAGAAGGAAATATGTTGATCTTCTGACAAGTAACCCAAGGATGGCAATATCTGACCTTGACCTTGAAATTTCCCACAAGTGTGAGCAACTCCTCAACTCTGAGCCAACATTCCAGCAGTTCAAGGGATCAGTAGGTACAGCACAAGTGGTGACATTGTTATAATTGGTGACATATAAATAGTGACATTGTTATGGTCATCAATTATATTATGTTCAGTGGTCAGTGATTGGCAGTTGGCATTCGGCATCTTTAACAAATGGCAGGTGGTGACATTTTGCATGTTAATGCCTTGTCTTATTCTATGATATCCCAAACTCCTTGAGCGAGGATTAAATCTGCGGGGATGTACCCAAATAAAACCCCTCTTACACTCTGATCTTATTCCCCACTGGAGGACCCGTCCATGTACTAGTATATATGTTTATGTATATTTGACCATTCCAAAGAGACATCAATATTTTGGACACACCTCTATTCTGTATAAATCACCTCATAAATAGCAATAAAACAACACAATATGAAATCATAAATGAGAAGTGCTATAATAAGTGATTGATTCAAATATAAATTTTTAACTGTACCTATACACTGTATATGTAGGTGCGTTCTATGCCATGAAAGCTGTGCTTTCCTACTACCATTCCCAGCTACCTAGTGGGAGTACACTGCTAGACATAGATTACATGCTGATGGTGCCGTTCATGCAGGTGGCTGGAGACAACATTCCAAGGTAAAGTGTCCATGTAGGCCCTTTAGCCAATTTTTGGCAATGGGGAGGGGGTCACTTTTTGATTTATTCAAGGGTGGGTTAAATTTTGACAATTTTGGCCCAAAATCACTTGACACGGGTGTGAAAACTGCATGATTTTGAAGAACCCCTGAAACCCCTGGCTTTGAGCCGACCATGCAACTTGGACAATCAAAATCCATTTTTAATTGAACATTACCTTGTATCCTGATAGAAAACATGTTCACTCAGTTGAGGTTTTGGACAATTATGAAATTATTTTTAATTTTACATGTAACTACTTAAATGTATGTCTTATTATCCCAGAAAATCATTTTTGTACATCATTTTTGAAATCTATTTTAAGTAGATGTACAGAAAAATATTAGGTTACTTAAATAGAATGGATCAAACATACAATAGTCCTGTATGTTATGCTGTATGTAAACTCTTAAAACGTTAACGCGTTATGCATTGAATTTATTAGGAGGGAGCCAGGAACGGATCGTGTAGTGGCCCTACTTGTGGAGGAGTTTGAAACATTCATGGAATCGAGGCCAAGTTACATGTTGGATGGTTCACAGGTTGGTATATAGCTAGAGAATTGTTGCATGCACATGTATATTTGCATGTATGCACTGTAGTTGACATTCAATTACATTTCATGATGTTAACAATCAGGCCTGTACCAGTTTTTTAGGGGAAAATTTGGGGAATTGTTTCAAATTCACAGGCCCATTTTACAATAAAATGAGCCCCAAGCCATCAAAATAGGTAAATGAAATTGTCAATTATTTTTCCGCATCCCCAAACCTCACGTTTGGAGAATGTATACAGAATGAATATTACAAAGTGTGTCTATTATGCAGGATCGTCCTGATGAGATGTCCAGCTTCATGTCCCGGGTGTGTCAATATCTTCAACTTGCTGACCCTGACACAGCAAAGATACTCTCAGAAGCACTCAATAAAAATAAAGGTACAAACTCTGTAAATGGAAACCCCCAGTTCCACTTGGGTGTTCCACAATTAGAGGCTCAATTAACATGAAGTCAATGGGCACTTGACTGACAATGTCCGAAAATCACTTGACAAGAGCTCTTAATGGTGGAAATCTGTCAGTCTGACATACTTCATAAAGTTGAAAATTCCTAAAATCAGTTCATTGTTACCATAGATACGATATGATGTCATGTTAGAGAAATGTGAACTTAAGGAATTTCTAACTTTACAGTGTTTTTGTATATGTAATCACTTATGGAATAGTTAGAGAACTATGAACTCAAAGAATTTCTAACTTATACAATTAAATGTTTCTTTAAATGTAATCACCTGTAATGACTGAAAATCATTATAATTCAATATTCTGCTTTGGAGTAGCCATCATTTCACATTCAAAATCAAATAAAATGCCACGAAAGCTACAATTGAGGTTCTTTAGATCAGAGATTAGTACACTGGCGGATTAGGGGGGGGGGGGCCCAGGGGCCCGGGCCCCCCCCCTTGCAGGCCTGTCAACTTGGGGACACCTAACATGAGTGACTTGCAAATGTTGAACACCTTTGTTCAAACTTTGGACACCTTGGTCCAAATCTGAACATCTTGGCCACAATTTGAGCACCTTGTTTTCAATTTTATTGCGATTTAATCAAATTTTGGACACCTCAATTTTTCGCGCTCGCTACACTCGCGATCTATCAGCGGGGGGGGGGGGGGGGGGGTAGGTACGAAAATTTCTAATTAACATGCGTGACACATACGGGATTCGCGTGACAAATCCGAACAAATTGCGTTCGGTTTTTTCCGACGTTCGTATTTTTACCGTATCGTCAACATATTTTGAAAAATTTTCTACAGAAATATTTTTGCGTGACAATTACCAGGTAAAATGCGTATTTGCGTGACATTTTCTGTCACGCAAAAAAAACTGGCGTGACTTCAAATTCTTCAGCAAATGCGTGACAAATACGCAAATTGCGGGACAGTTGACAGGCCTGCCCTTGGGTGGGCCCAGAAAAAAAAAATTGGGCCCAAAAAAATTTTTGGGCCAAACAAGGCCTTCAGGCCCCAAAAAGTGGGCCTTTTTGGTCATTACTGGGCCTTTTAAGGCCTTATTTGTTAATTTCAGGCCAAATTTTGAAGAAAATGGGCCACGAAATTTCAAAATTTGGGCCCACTTTTGGATTTTAGGGGCCCAAAATTTTTTTACGCGCAAGCGCGGACGTTTTTTCTCTGACCTGAAATTTGGGCCCCCCCCCTTGTTGGTTCCTGGATCCGCCCCTGTAGTATGCAGTGATTATGAATATATTTTTTTTGTTTTTTTGTAGAGCATATGGTTGAGACAGAATTGAGTATGAATCAGTTATTAGTAGACCAACTCACCCCCCTGGTGCAACCGCTACTCAGGGCTTTCTTTACAGGTAAGTTTATTTTAACTCATTTGGCCGGTGCTTGGTACATGTACATGGCGTGTCTGTTGTTTGAAAATTGAACACCAATTTTTCTTATTGATGTTTAGAGTATTTTTATGCCTTTTTATTATGTTTATTTTTAGAAACAATATTTTGGGGTTGGCAAGTTGGGTCAAAAATGTTAATGTCTGTCTCAAATTGTTTTCATTTAACCCCCTTCCCTATAAAAATGAAATCACATCCTTAAAGTAGAGTACACTGTCTCCAATTGTTTTCATTTAACCCCCTTCCCTATAAAAACGAAATCACATCCTTAAAGTAGAGTACACTGTACAGTACATTTAAAAATCTGAAATTCAAAAAATGGTCAATCAATAATAATGCACAATGACATTTTGCACTAAATTTAATCAAGTTTTACAACACGATCTATAATTTTTATCGTAGGTTACACCAGTATGGAGGTTGTGGGCTTCATATGGGATCAATACATGATAGGGTTAGATGTCCCAGGATTCAACAATGAGTATCTGCCTGCCATCATGGCCACATTTCTGATGCTTTTAAGAGACAGCCTAAAGCCATGCACCAATGTATGTGCACCACTTTTACTTTTTTTCTTTCATTTCAGCGATCTCCCCAGCATTAAAGCAAGTGGCGCAGCACCCATCTGGGGTTTCGAAAATAGACTTGCGCCCACCTGAAAATCCATTTTCAACCCACTTGAAAATGAGAAAAATCATAAAAAATGGGCATATTTTGACCAATTTTGGTCTGAATTGTGAAAATGAGAATTTTGCACCCACTTGAGAAAAAATCCTGTGGAGATCACTGCATTTGTGTATACATGTTAATCTACAGTCAGTGTACAATCCTTTTCCTTTTTTGTTTGTTCAATATATATAATCTAAAATAGTTGACTTTATGTGTGCACAGCTTTCATCCGAGTACACATGATATGTCCTTTAAAGACCTTGATATGTATTTACAACGCATTAAATCAATCATTATGTTTGAACAGGCGTTGACAATACTGAGCTCAGAGTCAATAAGTCCATGTAGTGACATCTATAAATATTAATAATTTGTAATTAAATCTAAGAACCATACTGATACACATCACATCTAAAAACCTGTCTGTGTTTAGTTTTAAGATCTAATAATTGTGTCCTTACATATTTCACAGGTTTCGGAGGTGGATGAGGTTCTCTGCAAAGAAGGTCTTACTGCTGAGCTCTAGAGTCAACAAGTACATATACTGCCATCTATAAATATTAATAATTTGTAATCAAATCTAAGTCTATGTTTCCTTACATATTTCACAGGCTTCAGAGGTGGATGAAGTTCTCTTACTGCTGAGGTCTTACTGCTGAGCTCTAGAGTCAACAAGTACATATACTGCCATCTATAAATATTAATAATTTGTAATTAAATCTAAGTCTATGTTTCCTTACATATTTCACAGGCTTCCGAGGTGGATGAGGTTCTCTGCAAAGAAGGTGTAAAGCTTCAACCCTCACAGTTCCAGTATATGGTAAATTAACATCATATAATTATTTACAGAGTGACCCCAAAAAAACATAACCTTTAATCATATATTTGTTGTTTTTTGGGTCACCCTGTAATTGCTGTAAGAAATTTATAAGTTATGTTTTATCTTCTAATAGAGGCAGCACCAATATATGGGACATTCCCCATCAAAAATTTATTACATTATTAATTATATGTAAATGTGCTTAACTCGCATCATATTAAAATCAAATAGTGCTAGTAAGTTACAAAGGCATCTGTTAAAAAGTTAAGCTGCCACTTAGTTTCAGTACTCTTAATTTGTTTAAGTAATATGAATTGTATGTTTTCAGATAAACCGTCACTTCTACAGAGATCTTTTCAGCTATCTAAGTCAGAATTCCGTGGGCTCTCTGCCTATATTGGACCCAACTAAAAGTAAGTGAAGCTGACTTCTATGAAATACAGCTAAACCTGTGTTAGTGAACACCTCTCTCTAGTGAACACCCCTTCTGGGTACATACTCCACTGGATTGCCTCTCTGCAGTGAACACCTACCTGCAATGAACACATTTTTGTGGCTCCATGGGTGTGCACTATACTCAGGTTTTATTGTATACATGTATTGTGTACATGCATCACTTGAATTGTGCAGCTTGATCAGTTAATAACCTGCTGTACACCTTGTACTAGTTTACTAGGAAAATTCTATTTTAGTGAGTACTGTCGTTTTTGTTGTTAAATGTGCCAGTCTGAAGGTGGCTTTTATGAGAACCTTGTTTCATTTTGTAAGTGACTTGATTATTGATATAGTAATCAGTCCAATGCACTGCCTCAAGAAATGACTAATCTTCATACATTAACTTACTCGTTTCTTAGGGAAATCCAGTAGACTGTGATCTTTGAGGTATATCTTAGTTCTCTTTGTTTATCACTCATGTCACTGTGTTAATTGTAGGTGAGGTTCCTGCCTGGAATTACACTCGCAGACTGGATGACTTTGATAGAACTAAAGCCCAGGATAGAAGGAGAAACAGAGAAGAGAGAGATCAGGAGAGAGACAGGTACAGTAAGCATACATAAAGACTGGGAGGTTTAAGTATAAACAAACTTGTCTAGTTACAATGTATCTCAACTCCATGAATCTGAAATATCATAGATCTGGCCTAAACGATGTCCAATGCAGCTCTAGGACATCAGGAGTAGATAATCTAATGCTAATCAGATGTGCTTAATAAACAGTTTCCATACAAAAGTATCCAAGTTACATGAATGAAGTGCTCTGACTGTGATAGTGTGTTATTGTCATTTCTTTCAGACAAAGACAGCAAAGATTACAAGATGAACAACAGAGGCTGGTAGATACCAACAGGTAATAGGATATACATGTACTGTCCACATTCGTTATTTAAGAGGGTATCAGTCTCAAAGTTATTGTGGATTTTGAATATTTTTCAGAAATTGAATTAATGATGTTTACACAGGATGGGCTGCATGGTTTTTTGCAATGAAAACTATAAGTGAAACATGGAATGATAGTGGATCACTTTTCAGAGTCCCACGTCCAACTGACTAAATGTTAAATGAACCTCTATAAGTGGAACACTTCCTAGGTGGAACACTTTTAGAGGTACCAAAGGTGTTCAATGACAACCTAAAGTTTAAGAAATATTGCTTTCAAGAGTTATATTATATATATATTGTTAGATGGGACCTTATGGGAATACGATTTAAAGAATTGTTTACTGTTTTTAGAGATGGATCAGGAGCTGATGCAAGGAGAATTGCAGCCAAGGAGCGAATGCATCTAGAAGATCTCATTGATCAGGTACATTCATAGTGCATACATTCATAATGCATACATTCATAGTGCAGTTTAGTGTCTGAAAAAATCTTTCCTCTTTCCAGTGGTAAATATTTGAAAATATATTCATATTAGGTGCAAAAATGAGTAAAATTAAATGCTTTGGAAAACATTAATTTCTTTCACTTGAATACTTTCATAAAAAATCTTGGCTATGCTCCTGACACTTCTGACATCCTTTTTCAGGAGCGACGCAGAAGACAAGAGGCAGAAAGGGTAGCAGCTCAAAAGATAGAAGACCTTCAAAGAGAAATTAATGACCTGAAGAATAGAAAAACAGCTGATTTGCCAAAGAAAATGGTAATGTATGACACATGTACATGCAGGCCCATAGCCAGGGGGGATTTGAGATGTTTTGTCATTTTTTGACAATTCTGAGCAATTTTCAAGTGATTTTGCTTCAATGTGAACCCCCCTGGAATTCTTTGAAAAGAGAGCCCCCCCCTGGCTAGGGGCCTGACATGATCAAGTACAGTACAGTACATGGATGTTTATTAATTTCCAATACTTTTTTTCATACCATGGTACCTTATGTTTTGGACCCGCTTATTTTACTTTGATGTTATCCCCCTCCTTGGTTGAAAGTTTGCTTTCTTTGCATTGTATTTATTTTTTGTATTTTGAATAATATTCCAGTGTATACAAGAAGCAATAAAAAAGTTAAATGTTTGATTTAATTTTTGCACACTACAGTGTACTGTAGTCTAGTGTACTGTATTGCATTGTACTGTACGACAAAAGAGATAACGGAATGTAAGCAAAACTCACTCTTTGAAGAAAACGAATATAGTGAAATGCAAATGGTACTTTTAATTTACTTTCAGAAATCTCCCAATCCATCTATATACAGCGTACAGTCCACTTACAGGTGAGGAACAATCAGTTTTTATCAAATATGATGGAGCATGACTGTGATTACTCAGCTGTTAAATAAACTTGCATTCTGTCATTAGAGGTCAATGGTTGCTTCAAGGTCATGCTTAAAAATTGAAGGGACACTGGCTAATTCAATGTATAGGATGGGGCACCAAGGTCAAAGGTTGCCTTCAAGTCATAATAATAATTTAATAACCATAATTTTCACTTCAAGGATCACGTCACCCAAAACTACAAAGGCCACAGAATATCAATTTCTCGATCAAGCTAATCTAAAATATCATGGGTCAGCATATTAAGGCACTCTGAAAATATATACACCCATTCTAAGGTTACCTAAGCTCAAAGCATTAAAAGGTCAAACTGTCAAAGATAACAGTACTATAATCTGAGTATTACATATTTGCACAATTAGAAGAACTTAGAGGTATTGGAGGCAAAGGTCACACGCCTCTCTTAATAGGTATCCTACTTCTTTTATATATAAAGAAATGATGTTGAAAATTTATTTAAATATTTCAGTCGCTATTTGATCCCCCCTCCTCCCTCCCCTGCATCCAACTTTGCTGTCACGCCTGTTCAGGCATGGGCCAATGAGAGGCTAAAAACACCAACGCCAACAAAACCCAAGAAAGAGCAAACAGCAGATGTTGTACTCGACTTCCTTAAGAGGATAGCTGTTAGTGTAAATAAAGGTAAAGAAAGACTAAATTGATATTGTACTGTATATACTTATTCATAAACAACTGTTTTCTTGCTCAATATTTCATAAGAATCGAAATGACTACTTTTTAACATTAATGATATAGGCCTAATGGTGGTTTTGTACTGTGCCATTTGTCACAAAATCTCAGTCAGTCGTTTTAATGTATTTGTTTTTTCTTGTTAACTATTTATTGTTACTTTCAAAATATTAACAGACAAGTTATATAATGATTTGACGCAGAGCGTATATTGTGTTTAAAAGAATTAGGTCATGTCAAAGTAAAAAGTAAGTGTTAACCAAAATGCTTACTGTTTTGCTATATTTTCAGTATGTCATGCTGATGGTGCTGATAGGAGGCATCTAGATTCAGAGACAAAACGTCAAATTAAAGCACATCAGAGAGATGTTAAAGCTGCTGAGGTAAGTTATGTGTCTATGTTAGGTTGTTTAGGTCTATATTAGATGGTTCAATTAATGAATAAATCACTTACCCAATGTTCAAATACTGTCATGAATGCATAACTTGCCCTGTTGTCCTATGATGAATTGTTCAAGTAATGGATTCTGTACTTATCCTGTTAACATATGCTGGATACTGAATGCATGATTTAAGGATTTAAGCCCTGAACTCAGTGCCTTGCGTGTTGAATCATTCCATTGAAGGTGTTTTTTCAATTCATTGAACGACTATGCATCGGGAATGCAAAGTAAAGGAAACAAAGCATGAGTGGAATACAGGAGCCATAATGCATTGAGTCTTGGGCTTAAATTCTTTTCACACATTGCAAAATATTTTCTACAAAATCACCTAAAAGATACGAAATCATTAAAATAACATATTTTCAATGAATTTTTTTTGCAAAGGTCAGGTTGGCAAATCATCAATTTCATTCTCTTCACCTTAACAACCATACAACAAATGCGTATATAACATATGGATATATAACGGAATGCAGTTGGTTGATTTGGACACACCTTGCCTAGCTTGTAGCTATATGGATGTGTGAATGTTCAATATTGTAACTGCTATTTATTAATTATTTACTGCACTGTTGTTCTTTCAGATGGAGGTATTTGGACACCCATTGAGAAGTGGGGAGTTTGAATCTCTTACTGAAGAGGAGCGCCAAGAGAAAGCTGACCAACTTATGAGTGTTATCAAACGAATGCTAGAAGAGAGAGAACCCCGTTGAAGAGAAGACAAATTAGGAACATTATCAAGTGGGAAAATCGATATGGTTCTGCAAAGGCATCAACAATACTATCTAGTAGCCAGTCTCAGTGATAAAAATCAAAAAGTGGATCATGGCAAATCCATATACTGATTAGACTGAATAGCAATAATGACAAGTGGAAAAAGTGACATGGTTCAGCGAGAGGAGTTGCAATTTACAGCAAGAGTAACAATATATAATAGACTAGGTGCGAGTAGAAATAATCTTGATTTACGTCATTAAATATTCAAAATTCAGTCAAAGTGATGTCATATTTGAAATCTGCATGTAAAAGTACATCTAGAAATATGGTTTCGAAAATTGTTTATCAACTTTGAAAATTTAATTTTTTTTGAAAATGTGACTTCTTGTTCGGGTTGATTCCCCATATACCCCATGATACAAAATCACAAAAAGTGAAATATCTTTTCTTGTATTGGATAGATAACATTTTCTTTTACTGGACATATTTCAGTTTGCATAACTATTAGATACATAAGGGTTATATGAAAATTGAATCATTAAAACAGATGTGATTTAAGTTTAAGGGAACTTTCTCCTATACCCGCCATGCTATCTGACACGAACGAGCCACCTGGTGGTGAATCTGGTAACTACCTACTCGCATCTGCGTTATTGCCATAGTGACGAAAATTGAAAAGTGGATCATGGTAAATCCATACATTGACAATTGGGAAAAGTAACATGGTCCTGGGTGAGTAGTTGCAACGTACAGCAAGAGTTGTTACAAAAATATAATGGCCGGAGTGGCAAAAAAAGGAAAGTCGATTACATTGGGATCTTCGCATGCTCAGTCTCCATAACGTTTAGCGACAGAAGGGAGCAAAATAAACGAAGATGTACATTGGAGGTTTAAATCAAATTCTCATAATATAATGACAGGCATATGGATGAAAACAACACAATGACACGTCACTTCTTATTCAAGCTCATTAAAAATCTGAGTTAACATATATGCCAGCACCCACTAGTTTATATGGACTGATTCAAAGATATTGATGTGCCACTTTTTTGTAGACGGTCTTCGGCAGGCGGCGGTCGGCGTTTGGAGTTCGGCATCTGTAACATATGGCAGATAGTGACACATATGTGAATGCCTTGTCTATTATTTATTTTATAGTATAAATGAGAGCACATTTATTTGCAGCTATAGAGGACTAGGACCGAGGGGGGTACGGGTGTCAGTAAATAAAATATGGTATTCATTTTTGAATATGACCTTGGAATGAGGACCAATGATTATATATTATGCAATAATAACACTGAACGATGAAGTGTGTACATGTAAGTAAATAATAAATCACAGAGCTTATTTTGAAGAACTTCATTGAATACTGTTCCATAGTACTATCCATTGTCTTTTATCTTTACACGTGTTACTTCAGATCACAACGTGGGACACTAATCATATGGAATCTGATAGACTGATATTGTCCTCTTATACAGAACATACAGCGTTTCTCTTATAAAATGGACCTTCGTTTTCTTAAAAACTGACCCAAAAATTCCATTAGTGAGCACAAGTAATAAAAGGAGGAACTTCTCATTTTGGCACACTTTAATTTTGTTGAAGAACATTGATATTGTCTCCAACTTTTTTGTGGACGGTGTTTGGAGGTCGGCGTCTGTGCCAAATAGCTATTTGTGACATTTTGCATGTAGTTTTCAATGTTGATTTTTAGTTCTGCCCCTGTCAAGTATCAGCTAGAGTTAATTACTTAATATTCGTGATCGAGAACTTCATTCAATCGGAAATAGTTTTTAGAAAGGGCTATTTATTTTGTTGCATTGAACTCGTAGTGTCATATTTTTGAAAATAAGTCATTATAACTCTTAAAAGATAGGTCCTGTACTTGTAATAGAGCAGGGTGGAGCCGGAAATTTGAAAAAAACAAATATGTAGCATAGCGTAGATACTTTGAATTTAAAAACAAATAACAATTTAATGAAAAAAATTACCTACATTTACAGTCTTTTAAAAATCTGCAAGGACATGTCTTTTGTACTCATGTGAATCATATTTAAAACGTCGTAGCATGAACCTACAACCGATCATGCAACTTTTGACTGTTTTAGAATGGAAGTGTACTTTTGAAAGATGTTTAGAATGGAGTTAAATGAAAAATATATAACAAATTTGGAAAAACGTTGCACGATTTTAAAAGAATTATTGCAAAAACGAAAACCCAAAATTCATGACAATTTACCATTTCGTTTTTTGTTCATTGGGAAAACAACCTCATACTGTGCATTCGTCTAAGGGCCATATGCTATTTAAAGTATTTCAGGCTTGTCTCTATGTTAAATTGGGCATTGCTTTGGGCCTTATTTTTTAATCTTAGGCTAAATTTTCAAAAAATTGGCCTGGAATTTTCATACTTCGTGTCCATTTGGGGTTTTAGGGGCCCAAATATATTTTTCGCGTAAATATGTTTTAGTAAATTTTGTTCCCAGATCCGCCCCTGTGCTATTTTAGGAACGAGTCCGCTACTCTACCTGTTCTTATTACACGATTTTTTCGATCAAAATGCACAAACTATGAGAAAAAAGAGTTACACGCCTTATTTGGCTATGGTTAGGACTGATACACAGAATTGGAAATGAAGTCACCTCCACCTCCTTCGAAGAATTTTGTACTCAGATAATTTTTAAACCGTTGTAATTAATGATAATTTATATGTGATCTCGCCAGTAGAATTAACCATTCAACCTTTGATCTTATCTTTAAAAAAACTCTATATTTACACCTCTCCAAAGGTTGGGCAAATAGATCTCCCCAGTGCGGTTAGAGTTGATTAGGCTATTCATGAATTTCAAGTAGGATAGTGAGTGGTGTCATCACTTCGTACCATCATTTAAAATATCAACATTCGATCCTCTAAGAGGAGGACATGTCCCACAATTCCGACACTTTCTTATCATGTGACTCCAGTATATCATATATTCTTACGTGAGTAGCAAAGTATGACGGTTACTATATCACATTCCTGATATACTTAGTCACAGTTAACTTCTATGAAAAGTGCTTCAGATGATGCAATTGGTAATGATGCAATTCATAAAAAAATTAATCAACAGAAAATTAATATTCAAATTAGCTATACCAGAGACTGGAATGGAGGATAAATAGAGGTTATTTATGAGGGAAGGATATCAATTCTATTCTTACAGAAAATATTATATTGGCCAAGGAAAATATCATATTGACCAGAGTTATTCAGGACATGTTATTACGTATATCATATTTAAAATGATATAACCGGTGGTTTTCGAACATATTTGAGTTAATAATGTAATCTCGGATTGAACCACGAGATAAGGAACAAAACAATTTTGTGGAACACAAGTACAATCGTCTGTTCGCACTTGTTCGGTAAGTTGTTGAATAACTTAGTCTCATAAATACTTCTCACTGGCGGATCTGGGGGGCGCCCCCAGAAAAACAATTGGGCCAAAAAAAGGCATAAAGACCCCAAAAGTGGGCCTTTTTGGTCGTAACTGGGCCTTTTTAGGCCTTATTTTTTATTTCAGGCCAAAATTTGAAGAAAATGGGCCTCGAAAGGGCCCACTTTTGGGTTTAAGCGCGGAACTTTTTTTCTCTGACCGGAAATTTGCCCCCCCCCCCCCTTGTTGATTCCCAGATCCGCCCCTGCTTCTATCTTTGTCGCTTCATATGCTATCGACTAAGATTCAGCAGAAATAACAGACTGATGGTAAAACAGAACTTGATCCAATAAATATAAAATTATAGTTGTTTTGTTCACATTAATAATCTCTTGATTTCCTACCATTCAGTAAAGTTGGCAGTATCGCATAATTGTATTGAAAATATTTCATGCCGATTAATTTTGAGTCTTTCTTTAACTGAATATCAATTGCTGATAAGTGGTTGTTATAATCATATACAAATATTGAATTCTGTGGAGTTGAATATCTGTATATATTTCTGAAGGTGTATTCACCACAGCCCGATCTCTGTCACACCATTTATATAAATGTATATAATATATAAGCGCAGGATTTCATTCTGTGTTTTCATTAACTATAACAATTAGATTTGGATCTTCCATGTTAAAGTCCATAATCTTCGTGCTTTCATTAGTTGACATTTTGATCCCGCGTTTGTGACACAGTATTGAACCTTTTCTTGGGACGACTTCGTGATACAACGTCACCGTCTGTGATAGCCTATCGGATAAAAATACTTTTTACTAAATTCCCGGGAATTCAGTGATGTGACGTCATTTCTAGTGAATACCACTATTTATTCAATTAAAATGACGTCATTTTTAGTGAATACACTCTTCACACGTTTTCTAAGCAGGGATACAAGGAATACCTCTATATATTTTAGTCACATGGTATCTAATTGACCAATGATCGAGAGAACGAGTATCACGACATGGAAATAATAATCTTAAAAAATATCTAGATCTAAATTAGAAGTTCGAGCGCTGAAATCTCCAATAGTTATAATTTCTCCAGAGTATCATAATTTTTTATTTGATTTTCTACAGCTGATTTTAAAATCAGATAATTAGAGTTTTGAGGTGGAAAGTAAACATCACATACATATTCTACGTGTTAGGTTGGATTGAGATTTCGTCGTTGGTTTGACGGGTAGGGGGGCGGGCGGTGGCGGCGTCTCACTTTAATTGTCATCGCGATTCCAGGAAAACCACTTACCAGAATTACTACAAATTTTTACACATTTTACATGGTAGGAAGGTCTAGAGCTGATTAACTTTTCGGTGACCAGTTTGCATTCTGGCGGCCATTTTGGAAGTTTTTAGATAAATCTTGTCATTATGTCGCGATTCCAGGAAAACCACTTCAAATTTTTAGCCATGTTACATGGTAAGAAGTGCTAGAGCTTCAGGAAAACAGCTTAACGGAATAAACTTTTACACACGTTACATGGTAAGAAGTGCTAGAGCTGATTAACTTTTCGGCGGCCATCTGCATTCTGGCGGCCATTTTGGAGGTTTTTAGATAAATTTTGTCATCGAGATTCCAGGAAAATCACTTGACATAATAACTTCAAATTTTTACACATGGTAAGAAGTTCTATAGCTGATTAACTTTTCCGTGGCCATCTTGCATTCTGATGGCCATTTCGGTAATTTTTAGATAAATTGTGTCATCACGATTTCAGGAAAATCACTAAAAGGTATGACTGACATGGTGAGATGTTCAAGAACTGTAGCTTTGTGGGTCGATATTGTTCACCCTGTGCCTTGTTATTCTTTGATTGAAAACGAACTATTCACGTACTTATTCCAATAATAATCTGGTTATTGTGTATTACACATTTATTTATAGATGATGACAAATCGAACGTGCATTCAATGCCTTTGACATCGACAAACGTTTTGACATCAAAATCACGACAATGGATCCATATCACAGTCGGCTCGAACGGGATATTAAAGATGCGTTAATTAAAGGTGCTGAATATAGAAATTTAAGAGCAACTCTAGTGAATTCATCATTCCATTCAGCAGCATGCAGTTGTCTCAAGAATGTAATACTTTGGGCTGTCGAAAACAATATCGATTTACACAGAGAGATAGTCCAGTTGTTACAAAAGAATGGTGCGGATGTTAATGCTGTTAATAAAAATGGACAATCTGCACTGATTGTGGCTACTGCAAAAAATAACAATTCGTGTGTCAGCGCATTGTTGGACAATAACATCAAGAAGACTGCATTGATTGTTGAGGTAGAGAAAATGCAAAATAAAAGTTGGTATTCTCTTATTGGCCATCGTGTCGACGTCAATGTAAGACAGGAATTACGGCGTATTCTGAGCGGCCATGGTGCAAAAGGGGAGACTCCATTGATGGATGCGCTAGAGAACAGAAGGGAGGTCTTATCGCGAATTCTTATGAACCATTGTGCAGCCGTCAATGTACGCGACGAGTACGGAAAGACTGCACTGATGTACGCTGTAGAAAAAAATAGTGAAGAATGTTGGCGTATCCTTACTGACTATGGTGCAAACGTCAAGATTAATGACAAATACGGGAAAATTTCATTTCTGTACGCTGTAGAGAAAAATAGTGAAGAATGTTGCAGTATTCTTATTGAGTATGGTGCAGACGTCAATGCTGGTGACACGTACAGTAAGACAGTATTGATGTTCTCTGTTGAGAACGACAATGAAGAATGTTGTCGTACTCTTATAGCTTATGGTGCAGACGTCAACGCTTGTGACAAGTCCAAGACGACTGCATTGATGTTCGCTGTAGAGAACAATAGTAAAGATTGTACTCATACTCTTATTGACTATGGTGCAAACGTCAATGCTAATGACAAGTACGGGATGACTGCATTATTGTACGCTGTGCAGAACAATAGTGAAGAATGCTGTCAAATTCTTCTTGAACATGGTGCATATGTCAATGTTCGTGACAAGGTCGGGAAGACTGCATTGATGTACGCAGTACGGAACAATCGTGAGAAATGTTGGCGTACTCTTATTGACTATGGTGCAAAGGTCTATGTTGATGGCATGGGTTGGACTGCATTGAGGTACCCTAGACAGTACAATAGTGAGAAATGTTGTCGTACTCTTATTGACCATGATTTAGACGTCAACGCTTGTGACAAGTCTGGGAAGACTGCATTGATGTACGCTGAACGGAACAATAGTGAGAAATGTTGTCGTACTCCTTTTGAACATGGTGCAGACGTCAACGCTAGTGACAAGGTCGGGAAGACTGCATTGATGTACGCTGTACGGAACAATAGTGAGAAATGTTGTCGTACTCTTATTGAACATGGTGCAGACGTCAATGCTGGTGACACGTACAGTAAGACAGTATTGATGTTCTCTGTTGAGAACGACAATGAAGAATGTTGTCGTACTCTTATTGAACATGGTGCAGACGTCAACGCTAGTGACAAGGTCGGGAAGACTGCATTGATGTACGCTGTACGGAACAATAGTGAGAAATGTTGTCGTACTCTTATTGAACATGGTGCAGACGTCAACGCTAGTGACAAGGTCGGGAATACTGCATTGATGCACGCTGTTGATATTAAGAGCGAGGAATGTTGTCGAACTCTTATTGAACATGGTGCAGACGTCAATACTGGTGACACGTACAGTAAGACAGTATTGATGTTCTCTGTTGAGAACGACAATGAAGAATGTTGTCGTACTCTTATTGAACATGGTGCAGACGTCAACGCTAGTGACAAGGTCGGGAAGACTGCATTGATGTACGCTGTACGGAACAATAGTGAGAAATGTTGTCGTACTCTTATTGAACATGGTGCAGACGTCAACGCTAGTGACAAGGTCGGGAATACTGCATTGATGCACGCTGTTGAGATTAAGAGCGAGGAATGTTGTCGAACTCTTATTAGTCATGGTGCAAATGTCAATGTTAGTGACAAGTACGGAAAGACTGCATTGATATACGCTGTTGAAAACAAAAGTGAAGAATGTTGTCGAATTCTTATTGGTCATGGTGCAAATGTCAATGTTAGTGACAAGTACGGAAAGACTGCATTGATATACGCTGTTGAAAACAAGAGTGAAGAGATTAAGAGCGAGGAATGTTGTCGAATTTTTATTGGTCATGGTGCAAATGTCAATGTTAGTGACAAGTACGGAAAGACTGCATTGATATACGCTGTTGAAAACAAAAGTGAAGAATGTTGTCGAATTCTTATTGGTCATGGTACAAATGTCAATGTTAGTGACAAGTACGGAAGGACTGCATTGATGTACGCAGTACGGAACAATCGTGAGAAATGTTGGCGTACTCTTATTGACTATGGTGCAAACGTCAACGCTAGTGACAAGGTCGGGGAGACTGCATTGATGTACACTGCACGGAACAATAGTGAGGAATGTTGGCGTACTCTTATTGACTATGGTGCAAACGTCAATGTTTGTGACAAATACGGGAAAACTGCATTAATGTGCGCTGTTGAGAACAAAAGCGAGGCATGCTGTCGTACTCTCATTCACCATGGTGCAGACGTCAACGTTAACGATTATTCTGGAAATACAGCCCTTTCTTTGATATCCAATCCTTCAAACATGGAATTGTATTGTACCCTTACAATATACGGTGCAAAAGATGAGCGTTATGAGAAACTTATGTCATTAAATGATAACACGACCAAATATCAACAAAATGAAGCATCTCGTCAGCTAGACACATTGCGTAAGGAATCAAAACTCTCATTGCAACACAGAGCAAGGCATGCCATCTGTCTCATTCGAATGACAAATAAACATGGTTATATCAGAATTATTAGGAATTTGATTGAAAATGGACACTTACCGTCTAAGATGGAATCGTTTATGTTGTTTAAGCAGGACATGGAAGATGTGATGGATATTCTATCAAAACTACACCACAACCATTTTCCAACAGTACCGTACGGTCACGTTTCAGTTCCGGAACTGTAAAATATGGTGCCCTACGGTATTGTAGACTCAACTTTGGCTTCAGCTTAACTTTGAGCCTAATGCAACTTTTTAATTTTGTGTTAATGCAATTTTTACAGAATTGTATGATTTACACTTAGAATTGAAATCACATGCTAATGCATCATCGTTCAATTTTGAAAATACAAAAGAAGATTTCACAAGAATTGGAAAACGTTAAATATCAAAGTACTTCATTAATTTTTGGCCACCTTGTGCAAATTCGTTGTATTGAATGCCAATTGCCGACGAATGTCTTGCAATTCAAAGTGTAATCTTTCCAATTGGCAACCTGTATAAAATATGTTGAAGCAAGGGTTCTAAAATCTAAAAATAAGTATGCAATCAAAATTGTAAAGATCAAAGTCATTATTTTTGGTCATTCTATAACATTAAACTAAATTTTGTATATGGATTTGATGTCTGAAAAAATTGTTGTGAGATATTTTTCAAATGATCGGAATCAGCTTGAAAACTTTCTCAGATTACGAAGTCACCCGGCTTCACAATAATGCTGTTACTAACTTTAGGGCCGAAACAAAACTGTTTTGTCCGTACTGTAGATCAAATGTGGATCGACAGAGTGGGGCAATGTACATGTATATGGAAATAAATAACGCATATGGGCCAACTATGAAGAAATGTCTCTGCTACCAAAATGTAATGACCATAAAATGCTATATCAATAAGTTTAAATAGTACCGTTTTGTGCATGGACACAAAAACAGCCATCTAAAATTTAAAAGGTTTTCCATTTTGCACCCGTCTGACGGTCAGAGTGAATTAATGGAATGGGATTTAAAACATTCTGATAATCATTTCTGAGCTTATTTACATATTAAATAGATGTCAGATATGATGCAGCTCTCTCTTGTATTTAATTCTCTCTGCTGGCAGCTCATTGATATTTGAATATTTTTATATGTGATTCCAGTGGAATGATTCTATATAAAAAGAAGGTTTAGATACGTATACTGTACACTACTAAACATCTCTTAAAGCGGCTCTAAGGTCTGTGGAGAGAAAAATGGAGAAATTTTACCTTTTCTGAGCTATCGGGGTGAAGTTTGGTCCAACATCTTCTTCCTTATTCCTATTTTATAAAAATGTATGCATATGGCAATATTCATCAACCAGTAGAACTGGCAAATCGTTTAGAATCTACAATTCCATACAAGGAGTCCCACTCATAGATTTTTCAAATTCTTTCCAAGTCGACGTCGAAACACCTAGCGGGTGAAATTGAAACTAATTTTTCTGGCTGCTCGAATCGATAAAATCTCTGATAGTGTGGGTCTTTTTATGAAATCTTTCTGATAGAAAACACTTAATTAATATTAGAAAGCATTAAATGTTGAATCCGAAGCGTAATCTGAAATAAAAGTGAAAAAACATTGCGCCGACGTCAGAGAACAAACTTCCGGTTTAATAAAAAATGGCGGACGTCGAAGGAGAAATTATGACGAAGAATTAGAGGATTTTCCTTTGCCATTATCGATCGTTATAAGGTATGTGCACAAATTCTAGTAGCATACATGGAAAATAGATACATTTTTAAAGGCAACAACATATTCAAAGCTTTCATTTTACGATAGGCCCAGGATCATTGGATACGACTCGGCAATCGATACTCCCACTTTAACTTCAAATGCTGTTTTCTACATGACTTATTTTTTCTTGGTTCAATATTAATGCAAATCAAGCTTTGTATCATGTAACATGTTTCAATTATTCTTTTTTTCCTTCTATCTACTTCGAAATTCTATATTAATTAAGTATAGTGGGCCTTTAATGTTTTTGTTAACATTTTTTGATTTTTAGTGCAATTGTTTTTTTGTTCCTTTCTACCAATTCTTGAGAATGAAATAAAATATCTTTCTAAACTCTCATTCACGTGGCACCAAAATTTCTCACAGGCTCCGTCTGCATAGGGTGTTTTTACCTCACCTATTGAGCATTGTGACAGCTGACCCTGATTTAATGTAGCCGCCGTTGACAACAGGCTGCTTATTTGGTATCATCAGTAATTACAAGTGCACTGGAAGATGGGGGAAACCCAGAATTTTAGAGAAGAAATATGTCTATAATGTAAATGTCTTATGAATCGAGAAGTCATATTGTCCTGATTGGTCAAACCGACGGGCAAGTGACGTCATTCAATGGCGGTTTCAAAATTTTCTAAAAACGCTGCGAATAATTTTATGTTTATGTCTGACGAGTTAATCAACATCATAGCTTGTTATTTCGTCACATCAAGATAGAGAAAGATGGCAGGAATATGCTAGGATTAAACATCTAAACGACGCGTGGTACCCGGAAACTAGCGAGTGAAAGTGGTAAGCAGGAGACGTAAACATATCTTGTTTTGAATGAACACCACTATTAGTCCGCATTCATGGCTTTATAGTTCTATAAAATAAATGCTATATACATGAATAGATGTCTCTGCATACAGTGTATTTGGGATTTGATGGGCCTTGTGGGTCATTTAGTACAGTAAGTTGATGGAACAAGTTGACATGGGCAGCTTGAAGTTCATTTCGTTTTCACTGCAGAAAAACAGCGCATTTATACACTGCTTAATTTTGAGTGATTCGGTCACTAACTATGAAGCTCTTCATGGTGGAGGATATAAAACCATGACTCAAGAAAAAATGCAATGTACCGATTTTAATTATTTTTTCTGGTGGGTACATAAGACATTGTGCTTTGAAGTAAGGGTGATGATTGAGCATAAATTCGATCTGTTTTTTCTTGAGGACATTGGAAGTTAACATTACGGCCTAGGGCAAAATAATTGTGGTGTGCATTCTTTGGGGTCTTCCCTCCTCTTTGCACTGGAGTCTGGAATCGCGCATGCGTGTGACACAGGTGAAGGTCATTCAGCTTAACCAAAGCTCTATTTTCTCTCGTTGATATTTCCTGACAGATCCAGGAACAAAAGACGGATCTAATTCGTCAACGTCTGAACACTTCCGTTTGGTAATCTAAGCCTCGCCGAACATCTAAAGTGCGGAAATAACGTAATCGATTTGGAACAAGATTCGAAGTGAATGTGATGTCTACACAGAGAGTTTTCAGAGTGTATTGTTAAAATAAAGTGTTGAAAAATATTTAGTTTCCTTTGAATATGATTCTAGCTCTGTATTAAACGCACGGCTATCCCGATCTGAAATTCTGAATTTTCCAAGTATATAGTATTATGTATACTAGAGACACGGCAAAATAAAGCCCATTCAAGGAGAATGTACTAGAACTGGTCAGGTATTTTTCAAAGATTACACTATAAAAATGTTTTTATATTCACATAAAGTACTAATAACAAATAACACCAGGCGCATTTATTACTTTGATGTTTATGAAAATTCTTAGAATCAAAAAGCAATATTTGTAAATCAACTAAATTGGGAAATAAAATGCTTTTATTTTCAGTCTGTGTTTCAACGGAAAAATCCAAACAGGTCAAACAGAATGCATTGTGGGGCTTTTTGAGGTAAAGGGGGGAAATTATATTTAAAGACGTACAATTAAAGAGACCTTTTCTGTGCATCTAATTTAGGAAAACTCAGATATTGCATTTGTCTTTCTCTGAGAAAACTGACATCACGTTGCAGCGACACTGAATGTTATTTCAGTATTAGCTATCTGAGTTGAGTAATTTCAGAAGTTGTTAAAAGAAACATGCTTTGAGAACATTGCGTGATTCTTAATTGTCTTCTTTAGCAATCATTACTCCCTTGCGTAAACTGCACTGAACGAACAAATCATCGCTATATCACATGAAAAACATGACACTCAAACTTGTTGTTTTGTCCATGTGGTCAATCATTTCATCACACAGTAAATAAGCCAGGAGATGGTGTCATCCAGTCGATTTCCCCGGGGAAAAGAGCAAAATTTTTGTTTCTCACTCGAAATATAGCTGCAAGGTTGATGTTCAGTGGGCTGTGTGTTAACAGAGAAATTGACATTATTAAAGAAATAAAGCATAGTAATTTACCTTATACGTCACAGCGTTTCGTAGCGTGAAGAATAACACAGGTCGTCGTTCGGGGTGTGTTATAGTTGAAGCACTGTCGAATGAAAAATGAACTAATGAAGTATTCAAACAAAAGCGTTCACTAAATTCACGTGCACAATTCAAAATTTCTTCTTTTTTCTAATTTCTAATTTTTTCTTCAACATGTATTGTAATGACTTCAGTATGAATGAAATGTCCCTTGGTCTTCTGGTCTTGGATTGTGATATTGGTTCTTGAATGGTGGGGGAAAGGGGGTATTAGACATTGTTTCTTTTCACGTTAGATCATGGTTTTGGGCTATATGGGGTTTGTTTTTCTTGACTGGTATGCACTTAGAGTTTGCTTTTTCTTGCTAAGTTCAATTACAACTTTTGGTCCTTTCCCTTTGGCACTTGTGCTTATATATTCTTAAAACTTCATTCTTAGGGAGTTAAGCATTCACTACATGTAAAAAGTGGCGTATTTTGCCCCACCCTGTATATAACGTGATTATGTGACTATATTATATGATTATTTACATTGTCTCAAATATTCTATCTCAGAAATGTAATAACTGATATTATTATAGAAGGGGGAGATTGGGCACAGCGGCTTTTTGCCGCAATTTTATGCAAATGTAAATATGAAAAGACCTATATACATAACGAACGTCTATAAAAGGTTAATTTCTACATACATATAAAATATATATAATATGAATATCATGGTATTGCTGCTTTAACAACTTTAATTGCTATCACTGATCAGAAAATTGATAGCAGAATCGGTTCTGTACGCAAGCAAACTCCCTCTCTGTAAAACAAAAGTAGACACAGAAATAATAGAAAATAGATTTCCGGAATGTTTCTTTAAAATAACATTTTCATCACGAAGATATTGCTGGACAAACCGGGTATTATTTCAATCAAAATGAAAATCCCGATCAATATTATACACGTGTTGATAAAGGGGTCACAACTTTTTGTTGTTTTGTCACCACCACAAAAGGTGACATACTGTTATAGTCTCCCACTCTTTTGTGGACGTCAGTCGACATTCGGTGGTGTGAGTTCGGTGTCTTTAACAATGGCAGGTGGTGACATTTTGCACGTAAATGCTTTGCTATTTATGTCTTATGAGTATGTTGTAGGAAAGACTTATATTCGAGCCATGTGTTTATGTGACATACTACTTGTAGTATCAGTTTTCATACTTGTTTTCCCATTTCAGGCCTCCTAGACTATCGTCAACGCGAACATCAGTTCTGACCACGCGAACTACATTCCTTGCATTCGAACCACGATTCTTACATCGCGGAAGTGAAATCTTTAGTCTCGCACCACCATTTCCTTGCTCCCGAACATATTTCTCCACTCTCGCACAGAGATCCGTGCTCGCGAACCACGATCAGGTGTGTGGTTAATTGAACGACATTTGTTAGACCCATTGAGGTGAGAATTCTGTGGCTGACATATCCATTACTGTGGGTATTGACGGGTTAATGATCTGATCTGACCTGATATTTTTTGTATTATTCTATTGGTCGTGGTAGACGTGTGTTCCCAAATTGATAAATGTCATATGAACTTCAGAATCCCAATATCACAGATGCATCCGCAATTGTATATTTGTCATAATAGGATATCATTTTATGTTAGCTACGCTTTATTTATAAGATAATGAAATGATAGTTGGAGATATTATGTACAGTCACCTTTAGGCAAGAAGTCTCTTGCACAGGATAATATGAAACTTATTGATAGCTGTCCTTTGGAACTTTGAATTAATGCGCACGCACGTCACCCAAGTTGAAGGTCATTTTGAGTTACGTCCTTGACCCGAGCTCATGTTCCATCGTTACTTGCAATATGAAAAATGCATCAGACGATGGTCTTGAACACAAGCTGGCAACAAAATAGGACAGCTAATCCCTAATGGCGTGAATACGAATGTGATTAACGATAGCACAAATCAAATATGAAATACCAAACGTCAAAGATACTAACCATAAAACATAACATCAAAAGGATAGCAGTGGCCTTCGATCGGAAATTGTCAAAACAAGGGAATATTATCCATTCTTTCTTCGATTCTATATCAAACGATGCCAAGTGCAAATGATCCTGAATGAAATATTACATGATTATATTCAGTGATTTCTCCCATCTCGCTCGAGGTATCCAATTATTAGATAATATATTATTCCTAAGATGTTCTCGTATCGAGCATGCAAATAACTTACAAATGATCTGTTAAAGGGGTTAGCAGATATATAGTCTCCCTAGCCCTTGCCAGACTTGGCATTTAAAAATCCCTTAAAGACATTATTCCGTATTACTCTTTGGCATGCTTATTTTGAAAATAATTAAGAACTATTCCCTTCATGATATATATTTCATTGGATCAGCGATTCTTGTGTCAGTAAACAAGAACGGCAATTTCAATATTTTCAAGAAATCTTGCTTATTAATGCTTTTTTCTCGGTGCAATTTCTGTATTCTAACTTTGAATATTTTACCATTTGATTAGATACATATTGTCTTTGATGCGGTACAATATTCACACTTAAAGCACCATTATCGGTTAGCCAGTTGTAAAATGTTAGCCAATTTACAATTTGCCTATTCCATGCATCACAGAATCTACCTTTAAGAATCTGGTTTTGTAAGATGGCTTTTGTACGGCACTGCGGTTCATCAAAGGATTAATTACAAAATTAAGTCGGCAAAGACGCTATTTGATTTCTGGTAAACAACGAATAAGTGATCTTCATATCGACGGAATCACGGGAATATAAAAAGAATCGTTTCTTTCACTTAACTTGTCGTTAACGAAGTCTGCTTTCTTAAGGAATGCTTAACGGCGTAAAGGAAATTCATAAAACATCTCGGCCATATACAGCAGGATAACTATTATCTTTAATTTATCTTGTAAGAGTAATTAGTGGAACACTGCCTCTACTTCAATATTGAAACATTCCTAAGTATCGTTATCGACATCGGTTACGGACGAAGTCAGGAACTGCGCTACTGTTATAATAGCGATAAGGGGTAAGCTCATATTTTAGAAGGCAATATTGTAAGAAAACTACTAATATTTGAGGAGGATTTACTTCCTCAAATAGAACTGTGCATCAGATTGTTGCATCGAATTGCACCGAAGTATTTAAGTACATTCTTAGAATTATATATGGGAGACATTAATAATCTATTGTGTACATGTTCATCATGCAAAAACGCTCGGCGTCTGTAACAAATGGCAGGTGATGACATTTTGCATGCTAATACCTTGTATCTGTTTGCAATGATCACGATCAAGTTCGAATCATGTAAACGTCTTGAATGGTAAACTGACAATGGAATTTGAATTCTTAGAATTAACGAGTCACTTTTTACAATGCCAATAAATAAGGGTTATGTACTGGGAGGTTTTGGATATGGGGTTTATCCAGAGGGATATATGCATATCTACCTGAGGGACCGTACCGTACACAACTGCTTTATCCTATACCAAGTTGAGTTTTCAGGGGCATATATGGCCATTTCAATAGTACAAGGTGTAAAAATATACAAATCATTCATATGCAAAGTCTTTTATTGCATTACCAGAAGCGGGAAGATATGCACCGGAAGCGGGAAGATATGCACCGAAGCGGGAGATATGGAGGTTCTGGATATGGAAACCTCAAAATCAGGATGCGGGATATATCTTACCAACTTATCTCCCTAAAACTCTACTTGGCATAAGATAAAGATATTTACGTAGTATCTCACTCCCACGCCAATCTTCGCGTACACGTGCACGATTATTAAACATGATGTGTTCTTCGGCAGCAGATAATAAGCCTTGGTGTAAAAACACGTATATCACGTGCGTAACGTAACATCTATAGTAAAAATAAAACAATTACTCAAAGAACGACCAATCGTTTAGCCCGAGTCACATTTCATACGGCGACCATGCATGCGGTCTGACATTTCTGCCTTCAGTTACATTTCTACGGTTGCAATAGCAGTTCTGCGGTCAGATAATTTAGCAGTCACATTTGCTACGGCAGCCGTACGGCGTAATTTGATTTTGAGGAGACATAAATCTATGGTTGCCGTACGACTGATAAATGATGGCACACGGTCAGTGTAGGACTGCCCCCTATGGCGGACTTTGTTTTTCCTCACAAAAACGGGGTAGACGCAAGCCAGCCGCAGTGGGGTCTTACGGCGATACTACGGTTCGCAAAGGTCAATTGTAACCCATAAAATCCAAGGCCAGTCGCAAGTCGAGCGTACACCCAACGTACATCCTCTAAGGAACCTTTCTACGTTTCGGCCGCGGCCTGTTGATTTCTACGCTGATACCAGAGGTATAACTTCTACGGCCACACTACGGCCTGTAAAAACTGGTTACGCCGCACGGACAACAAGGCGATCGTAGTTGCCGCAGAAATTAACTGATTTCAGGGAACTACAGTCGACTTGCGGTCGCCGTAGAGCAAATGTGACTGAGATATAAAGGCTTTAGGAAACAATAATTCTCTGATGAAGCTCGGGGCTTTCATTTTGAGTTTAGAGGGTTAAGGTTATCACATACTTAAGTTAAAAATTCAAATTAAAGTATATGTATGTATGATGAAAGGAATGAAAGGACTCCGTAGTTCGTTGTTTCAGAAGGTTTGGTCTATATTATCAGAATAGTTACGTGCAATGTGTGCCAAATACAATATTTAACTACATTGATGAAGAACCGTAATTTAATAGACTAGATGCGAGTAGAAATAATCTTGATTTACGTCATTAAATATTCAAAATTCAGTCAACGTGATGGCATATTTGAAATCTACATGTAAAAGTACATCTAAAAATATGGTTTCGAAAGTTGTTTATCAACTTTGAAATTTTGTTTTTTTTTTGAAAATGTGACTTCTTGTTCGGGTTGATTCCCCATAGAGCCCATGTTACAAAATCACTAAAAGTGAAATATTTTTTCTTGTATTGGACGGATAACATTTTCTTTTACTGGACATATTTTAATTTGCATAACTATTAGATACATAAGGGTTATATGAAAATTGAACCACTAAAACAGATGTAATTTAAGTTAAATGGAACTTTCTCCTATACTCGCCATGCTATCTGACCCGAACGAGCCACCTGGTGGTGAAACTGGTAACTACCTACTCGCATCTGCGTTATTCAGATAATATATTCATATAATAAATTAGAGTAGACAAATCGTGATAATGGTACAACGCTACGTAATTTATGAGAAAGAAGCAATCAAATAGTGACTAGAGTATACTTATCTAGCAAAAGTTTACATTAAAGGGATCCGCTTTTCAAGTCATTCGTGTCTAAACATTTCCTAGTTTGCTCATATACTCGTATACTAATTTAGAGTCAAAAGCAACGTGTACCATGACCTCAAGTCCTCAACTAAGATCGAATCATACGTGTAAAACTTGTCACACGTGACCAAAACAGCACTAATGTTACGTAGGAATCACGTTCCACGATGGTGTTCCAATTTTTTGAAATCTTAAGATCCTTGTGATTACATAATAATAACGTGACATATTAGCATAGCAGTTATTGAAAATTGTATATACGTTTGGCCCTAAAAGGGCATTAGTTCAAATAAAATCGTATTATATGAGCAATGGCAGTCCTGGTTTATTTAGACATGGCCCGCCAAGCTCCAATGTAGATTTATTATTCTAACAAGTTTTTCTACATGCCAAAAGGTCTCGTAGGGGCTCCGTCAGACCGGGTCGGCGTCCTTACTACGGCGACCAGAAAATGCACAAGGCCGTCGATCGGCAAACGAGAAACCTCGGTCAGACCAGATTGGCGTCCTTACTACGGCAACGGAATAGTAACGGTCTCAGAATGCGTCAAGATCGCCATAAGCGTGATAATAAAGCCTGACATCGTGCCGTTGCCGAAACTGTGCATGGGGATGTTGCCACGCATGTCTGACCTTCTCGATCCCATCGCGATCTTTACACAATCTTGTCGCTGTAGCAGCGCACTAAGGACGCCATTCCGTTCTGACGGGGTATAATCTGCAAGTAACGTCCTCCTCGGGACCTAAGCAGAATCTGCTCGGTATCTTTTTCTTAGGCAAGGGTAAAAGCAAATATTAAATCGAATTTTTTTTGACTATTTATTCAACGATATTCGAACTACATAAAAGTGTCAATTTTTCAAATTGTACTTTGGATCCAAATTAAGATATTGATCAGATCAGAAAGGATCAAAAGCCACATAGGCAGTTATTGAGGCAAAAACAAATCATTTTTTATGGGAACCTAAAAACGTAAAAGATCAAGGTTAGCAACATTTGTCATTTGCGTAAGATTGCTCTCCTGCAACTTTCTCAAGGTCGGAATTTAAGTTATAAGAATTTCATGTAATTCTCGTGATATTTTTCACTGGTCCAACTTAAAACGTCATTTACAAAACGTCAAAACATATTTTACTAAATAAGATGAAAGAAGGGGAATATAAGATAGATAGCGGGGGCAAAAGTAAGGGAGACTTGGTAATGTCGGGTGATGATCTAACTAAGAGTCCATCTGTACTTATACTGTTTTCTAATTCTGTATTTGCCATTTTTATGATTGATTTGCATTTTGGATGTTTCTATATAATTGACAATGAATTTAATTCCCCCTAATATTTTTCACAGGCCCAACTGATAAAGTTTTCGTGGAATAGAAACATGTAAAATTAACTCGCTGCAGTATGAAATAACCGTACATTGTCAAACTTATGGCGCGGCTTAATTGTTTTTGTTCATGTCAAAACATAATGTATTTTTGATGGGAAATAGTAAATCCCAATCATTTTTGACATATTGCTCCGACGTACCAAATTGAGCGTCTGGGATCGCATATTGAAGTCGGGGCGCCCTGCGACGACCTCCAAGTAACAAAACAACAGTTTTATCACCTTCAAAGGAGAGGTTTTATTAAAGGAATAGAATTCAATTTGAATGCTAAAGCAAATATCTTCTACAGGGTGAGTCAAAAAAGTAACCCAAACAAAGTTAATAACTTATTTATCCAGTCATATTTGACACAATTGTACCTTATTCAATGTTCTCACATTTTATAAAACAAGCTCCAAATGCCGAAAAATACCAAACTCGTCCAATATGAACCCCCAGAATTTTATCTTTGGGACTATTTCAAAGATAATGTTTACAGTACACTAAGCACATTTCATTCTTAATGTCCTAAGACCCCCCCCTCTTTGAAACATTTTCGTTATTAGCTGTATTTTCTTTAGTTGCTGGCAGGCAGTTGCTTAACAGCCCCGAGTGGGGCAAACCCTCAACAACTAAAAACCACAACTTTGAATATAAATATAGATGCGCAAGCGCCAACAGGAAAAATTATCAAAAATGGTTACGGAACACAGCAAGAAAATGAAAACATCTAAAAGCACACAAGTCGCAAAGAAATTAGATCCCAACTATCCCAAATCACATTTCAACGGGAAAAGATGCAGCTTCAAATTCCTCTCCCCCGCCATTCAAGTATCAATATTACAATCAGAAACCATAAAACTAAGAGACATTTCATTAATTCAATAATACTGAAGTCATTACAATACAACTTAAAGAATAAATCAAAAATTGATAGCAAATAATCAAAACATCCAAAGCTGAAGTACGTGTAGTTGTACACTAAATACTAAAATGGCATTCATACAAGATAGGGCATTCAGTTACAAATGATGTGGGATAGACAAAATCAAATTCCGAAGTCTATAAGCATATGAAATGGTCATCGACTCAACATCCATCCGCAAACCCGTCGTCATAAACAAAAAACACAATATTTCACAAGGGTCATCAGCAGGAGAAAACTGTGACTGGTTTCGATCCCTATTTTCCAACCAGTAATGCCTTAGCCGGAATCATGGGCTTTCAACTAGATATAATTGAAAGCCCATGCGGAATTTATCGAAAAGGTGACAATTAAACAATTGTGAGTTCGGTGCCCACAATAGTAGAATGGAAGACTACATGGTTTAATTGCCCCAATATA